GCATAGATATTCTCTATTCAAATGTATAAAAATCTACAATGTGTCTGATTTTGGTGGCTATGCAGCACCTATTAGCCCAATGTTGCCTACTCGAGCTATCAGCTTCACAATGGATAGGATTTTGGCTTAGAATTGCAGAGACTAAATAACCGATTAATATGTGGCTTCAATCCTACGGGTCCAGAATTTTAATTACTACCTCATAACTATGTTAAAGTGCCCATTCTTAGGGGTGATCTCGACATAGGGGCCACAAATAAAAATTCTGAATCCGTAGATCGATTAGAATTCAAATTCTAAGTAATATCCTCCTACAAACCATGCTCATACGTGTTGTGGTTGGAAAGCTATAGTCCAATCTCTCCAGAGTGCCAAATTTGGCAGGGAAAACAAGCTGATTTCGCATTTTTGGAGCAATAAATAAAATTTCTACATGGAAAACTCTCTCAGTGGATTCAATCACATCATTCCCTCAAACCCAGTGCAAAAAATATATTGAATTGGTGTTGTGGACGGTACAAAGTCCATGTCTCAAGAAATTGGCCCTGTGACGCTATGTCACGGCATGTCACTGGTCATCACACTTACCAAGGATTGTGCAACACCAATGATAATATTAATAGGTATAAAGAACCACAAACAAATCCATTTCACCAAAGTGATTGAAAACTTTCATTCTTCCAGCCCTGAGCTCTAGCTTCCCAATACCCACCACAATACTGCCATTCGCCACCAACAAGTTTGAACCACCTTGGCTGGCATTCCTCTCCTCGCCTTCTACGGTCTCGCTGCATTTCTTCAATTCGGGTTTTTTCTTCTTCTGCAAGATTCAATTGTCCATTTTCAAGCGCCCGAACGTCTGGGCGATACCTTGAGTCCGTCGGAGCTAGTATCGGTATCATTTCCTCGGTCAACTCGTTCAGAGTCATCCCAAAGGAGGTGAAACCATAATAATCTGGCGAATTCTTGGGGTAAGGATGCACTCTCCAAAGTAGATGGAAATGCGACGAATTGAGTGTATGAGACAACTGGTCATCCCATTTTCCTTCCAGACGGCTAAGGACCTCACCATCTGTGCCATAGACAGCCCCAGAGATGACATTTGATGGGCCCCAATATCCATTTTGCTGGAAGTCCAGCACACACCGTATCTTTGTTGTTGTATTTTCGATGGTCATCTTTCCAGTGTGCTCAAAATACTTTGTTCCCACCATGAGGTTGCGGATGAAAGATGAAGGTTTCGTCCTAGGGAACAGAATGATAAACCATCGAGAGAAAGTCAGCGCTACTAGTCAAACTCACCAGACATATTGATCATCCCCGATTCTGGCGCGACTCGTCCCGAGGGGAATTATCTCAAGGCTTTTGCCTGATAGAAATCAGAATGGGCAATGATCATGTTCAGCAGCAAAACTCACCCCAAAATTTAGTCTTTCCGCAGGAGGTAGATGACAAATGCCAGCCCGCGCTTTCAGCGTGATATGCTATCTCTAGCGGATTGTGTCTGACCTTCTCCGCGATGAACAGCATGCGATTATCTTCAAAGGTTTCACCCAGCATGGGATTGCTACTCGATCATTTGTAAGAACCCCGGGAGCAAGGATAGATAACACCTACAAACCCTTCCTTCCTGTTCGATGGCGGGTATGAGCGTAGCCAGAGGCGGCAAAAGCGGCCACATAACAAATTCGATGGATTGGGTCCACCGCCAACGCCGCACGATTGAGAAGGTCATAATACTCGACCTCCTCCGCAGAGCGCTGCAATAGCGTTAGTGGCTCGTTGAACGTCACGGGAAAAGCGATGTTTGCTAGGTCCTGACACATCTCGTCAGTGAAGCAGCAATATCCAGTATTGACCCTCCAACCTTGCCAACATTCTTCTTCAGAATGGCGAACAGGCTGCCTTCATCGCCAGCAGGCGGAGCTGGCAGCTCCGTTCGACGAACAATTTGAACCCCTGTCAGCGCTTTATTGCCTTCAACTGTAGTGTCCTTCACTGCGTCGTCGTTGATGTCAGTATCGATGCTGGAATTATCCAGCCTAACCGAGACACTTGAATGATTGCTGGCCAGTATCTGGCTTGGTTGGTCACCGCCATCTGGAGCGTTCTGTGGATCTATTAGGAACTCCTCTGGGCCTTCAGCACCTTCGTCTAGCGCATCGAACCACTCATGGATGCTTTCGCTGACTGTTGTAGCAATGGAGATACGATCCGATCGTCGAGCGGGTACCGCTGGATTGCGTGCACTACGCTTATCAGCGCCTTCATCCTCTTCTGCCGTGTAAGATAGTGGTGATGCGGGTGCGTGCGTCCCTTGGCTGGGGTCATACTGTGAGAGGGTATTTATCGACTTTACCAGGGCCAGGTGTTGCGACTTGAGGGTATCTACAATGGACTTGACACGCTCGAGTACTTGTGCTGCATTCGAATGCTGGATGCCCTCCGATGCATCATCAATCAATTCATGGTGGGTTGAATGATGAGCTAAGTGCGACGAAAATTAGTATGCGAGAGGAATGAATTTGAAACATACATCTCTTGAACAAAATAAACTTTGTATGTTCCTTGTGTTTGTCTCTATCGCTCTTCCTGATGGAATCCTTGGTTTGGAAAAGTGGAAGCAGGTGCAAATCTGACACGGACGCCTCGAGTTCAGAGATGGTCTAAATAGATCCACTAAGGGCGCACGATTTGCTCGCGAAATTAAAGCTCACCAGTCCCATCTCTTCTGCTACGGTCCCAGACCGATTCAAACGTAAGGTCCCTTGTCGGGAAGCCAACCGCGCAGACCCAGACTTCCTCGCTTCGACACCATTAGCAATGAACTTCCTAAAATGAAAACCGAGATGAGGTTGCTGCAGTACATTCGTAGGAGCTCTGACCTGAAAGCTTTCATCCAGATTTCAAAATCTTCTGAACTTAAACATTTAATATGAAAGGTAGCAGCATTGGAATCGATGTGAATATCTTTGCGGCCAGGCTCTGTAGAAATAGCGGCATGCTGAAGGGAAATATCGTCACGGATGGGTTGGCCAGGTTCAAACGAATAAGCAAGCCGCCCCGATTGGTAGAGGATAAAGTAACGGCGTGCAAAACCTGTCGTTTTTATTTATTCATCGATACGTCACACCATACAGCGAGATAAGACTCACCTTGCATTTTTTTTCGCCGTTTCTTGAGAACCCACCCCTCGCACACCACCATCAAATTGGAGTCAGCAGTCTCAGTCTGACAACCAGAAGAGCTGACAAAATCCTGATTTGTAGCATGGGCGGGGGTTTTCGTCGAGCGCATTTAGAAAGGACAGACTTCCCAGATCTGAGCCAGACGCGTTTGAAGGCGTCAACACCGTGACGTCAACCCGAGTGAGAAGCAGCGAAACAGCCCCAATGTCATCCAGGACTTTTTGTCTGTATTACGTAACGGATGGTAGCTAGAACTTGTAATTGGTACCATGTTATCCGCCTACTTATGTGTGGAATATTTCTCTCCATTCACGCCGACAATGATCCTCGTAGCGACAGTCGCTTTTTATCCATATGTCGTGCTCTGAAACGAAACAATGCCGAGAGAGGTTTGCTCTTGATTAGAACCACACGCTTTTTCTCATACAATCCCTAGGTCCCGATGCTCAGGGAAACCATCGCATTCATATCACCACATCAACGCCCATTTCTCAAGAAATTTCTCAACAAGTCGCTCATAATTATGATCGAGTTCGCTTTGAAGTCGACTTTTACGCTTCCGAGTTGCGATTAAGAGGAGATTCCCCCATTTTTCAACCTCACGTGCAAGGGGGTAACATATTGTGCTGGAATGGAGAAGTATTTATTCCTCTTCCCCGCTCCAACACGCAGATCATTGATTGAAAAACAGATATTTGATGGGTTGGAGGTTAGCTATCGGATTCGGTAACTGCTTTTCAACCAATGAATCCTTCACAGGTCCCGCCGCACGAGAATGACGGTGTGAAAGTATTGGACTCCCTTCACAATTTCAAAACAGGTTCTCAAGTTCGAGACTTCTTCGGCACGGTGGAGGGCCCGTAAGTGTCCCCCCTACCCGCATGGAAGCCACATTCCTGATATTTTGAATTTATAGCTATGCGTTTGTCTTTTACCAGGTAAGCATGAACGCCCTTTATTTCACCAATGCTGAAGAAGAATGGTAAGGAAGAATCAGAATGCCTATTCTTTGCTCGAGATCCCCTCGGACGCAGATCGCTACTCATTCACAGGCCCACACCTGATCAACCTTATTTGTTGCTCTCCTCGGTCTCCGCTGGTCTAAATGCAGGATATAACTTCGATGATGTTTCTACAGATTCTATCTACTGTCTTAGTCTGCGGTCCTTAGCTTCCATCCAAGATGTAAGTCCACTCCCAATCTTTTTCATTGTGGTTACAAAATGTACTGTCAAACCAGTATGACACGCGCCTCCAGCGTCTGCCACGTTCGACACCAGACCGTTTATTGCTGTATGTAAGTGTATTTACTTCTTTGACTTGTACTGGCTACCAGCTTCGTCCCTTAGGCAAGACCTGCTAAAATCAATGAAAGTTTGCCACCAGATGAACTTGCTGTAATTGAATCGGCTTCAATTCCCAGTTACCTATCGCAGGTGGTTGATGATCTAATTGATCAACTGGATCGCAGTGTGCTACTTCGCGTTCGCAACATACCCCGGATATCGTAAGGACATTATTTTCCTTTGTCGAACGCCGCGTGACCGATGTTGGGCTTAGCGGGCCAAGTAGAAGTGCAAGCGTGGCTATCTTGTTCAGCGGAGGCATCGATTCCACCGTGTTGGCATTCTTTGCGCACAAGTAAGGCGACCCAATCCACGTCCCGATAATAGTTTTAAGAACCTCAGGCACATACCACTTGACGAACCTATCGATCTTTTGAATGTTGCGTTTGAAAATCCCCGTAAACTTGGGATTACAACGCAAGGATCACTTTCCAACTCGCCAAAGCGAGCAAAGAAGGAGAAAATCAGTCAACTCAATGGATCCAACGAGCCAATGGGTACCTACCTAGTCCCCGACAGAGTCACAGGACTCGATGAACTTGAAGAGTTGCGTCGCATATGTCCTGGCCGGGTTTGGAAATTTGTGCGCTTTTCTTCTTCTAAAGAAGAAATTCTGTCTCATCATTCGCCTTTCAGGTAGAGATTAATGTTCCTTATCAGGTATCTTCATCCTCACGCTCGATGTGTTCATCAATGATTTGTTTTATTAGGAATCCCAGAGCGCGCGCGAGAGAATCGAGTCACTTATGATACCAGGTCGAACTGTCATGGATCTGGTAAGCAAGTACCAAGCGTGTAATATATTATCCTTTACCCCGTCAACTTAGAGCCTAGCCCTTGCTCTTTACTTTGCCTCCCGTGGTCAAGGCCAAATCCGAACATCACTGGGGTCTGAACCTGAGGTGTATACCAGTGTGGCACGCGTAGTTATTAGTGGGTTGGGTTCGGACGAACTTTTGGGGGGCTACGGCCGACATCGTTCCGCGTTCTACACTGGGGGGTGGGAAGCTGTCATTAAAGAGGTATTCTATTTCCTCAGAGTGCGCAATTGGAGCACTGATATATCCTTGAAGCTGCAACTGGAAATGGATCGTATCCCAACTCGGAATCTTGGGCGAGATGATCGCATTATATCATCCCACGGGAAAGAAACTCGGCATCCATTCCTATCTTTGGATGTCGTAAGATTCCTTGCTTCCCTTCCAATCCATCTTAAGATGGATCCTCGAGCAGATTTGGGTGTGGGTGACAAAATGCTTCTGCGATTGTTGGCGCAGAGAGTTGGATTGGTTGAAGCCAGCAGTCGAAAGAAGCGAGCAATGCAGTTTGGAAGTCACTCAGCAAGAATGGGGGGTGAAAAACGTGGAGATGTAGATTTAGTTTGATCTTTTGTAAGACTGTAAGGACTTGTTCAAAATGTAAGCTCGTTGTGACAGTGACGCGGTGGTGTGACGCGTCTGGTTGGCCGTGGTGTCACGTCGTTAAACATTTTACGCTCCTCTTAACATGGCTTTCGCGCAGAACGCTGGTCGGATTCTAGGTAAGAGACTTGGTATTCATTCTTTGCAGTTTGTAGCTAATGTCAGAAATTTCTAGTGCCACTCGGCATTGCTGCTGCTGTGGTTCAGGCTAGCATCTACGATGTACCTGGTGGATATCGAGCGGTTATGTTTGATCGATTCTCTGGAGTAAAGGACAAGGTGGGATTACTACGTAGCACATCGAGGTGCTTATGCTGATTTGGAACACAGGCCACAGGGGAGGGTACCCATCTTCTGGTTCCCTGGCTCCAGCGTGCCATCCTCTACGACTGTCGCATCAAGCCACGAGCGAGTACCCGTCCCATAGCTCCTCTCATTCATGTCTAAGACATTTTGCAGAATATATCGACAACAACCGGTTCGAAAGATTTGCAGATGGTTTCCATTACGCTGCGGGTCCTGTCCAGGCCTGACGTTGAGCACTTGTCCAGAATTTATCAAAGCCTCGGCATGGACTATGATGAGAGAGTCCTGCCTTCCATTGGGAATGAAGTTTTGAAAAGCATCGTTGCCCAATTTGATGCCGCGGAGCTCATTACCCAACGTGAAGTTGTGAGTAGTAGCTTTCACTGACGTTTTGAGCACTGAAATAATAGATATTTAGGTTTCTTCCCGCATCAGAGCCGATTTATTGCAACGGGCTGGAGAATTCAATATCAAGCTAGAAGATGTGTCTATAACTCATCTTACTTTTGGCAAGGTATGCGTGTCTTTAGTTCGATGTAGAAATTTCCTGATGTTATTTTTCCATAGGAATTCACGCAGGCTGTTGAAGCGAAACAAATTGCCCAGCAGGGTGAGTGTCTTCATAATCATGGTCCCGTTTGCGTACCCATGTGCGTCCAGATGCCGAACGTGCCAAGTTTATAGTTGAGAAGGTGAGGGATACTTTTTGTGTGAAGTAATGCATCACTGAATGCGGTGACAGGCTGAGCAAGAACGTCAAGCAGCTGTGATCCGAGCTGAAGGTGAAGCTGAGGCTGCTTCAACGATTTCACGTGCGCTCGAAAAGGCTGGAGAAGCATTCGTCGCGCTTCGGAAAATTGAAGCGAGCAAGGCGATTGTGCAGTCGCTTGCGAACAACCCTAACGTAACATACATTCCTAGTGGTAGCGGAGCGAATGTGCTGTTGAGTGTCCCTACGAATAAATAGAGCAGCGAAATAAATGGATAATTTGTGATATTTCAGCCGATAAACTCCCACGGCAGTCTGATCACACTTTGCTCTTGACTGCCATCTAGTCTGTCTCTCTCAGTATCTCGTCTTCCTTTTCTTCTTTCCTCTCCTCTCTCCTCTCTTTCCTCTCCTCTCTGACGGACTTGTCTATCGTATACTCTCTACTGTTTCCTCGTAAGACCCTGCAACGCATCTTGCTTTCAATCCACTTCATTCCGGTTTCACAGGTTTCATTTTCATTCATCTTTTTGAATCATGAATCCAATGGGCATGGGAGGTGTGGCAGAGGCTCCGGTTCGTTCTCTCCGCGTTTACCTCCTGTATTTGCACTGATCCGTTATCTTCATTCCCGCCCATCATTTTTTTCCCATCACCTTTAGAGGCGCGCTCATCTTTATGTTGGAAACTTGAGCCCTCGCGTGACGGAGTACATGCTTACGGAGATCTTCGCTGTTGCTGGACCTGTCCAACACGTAAAAATCATTCCTGACCGGAATTACCAACACGGCGGTCTCAACTACGGCTTCGTAGAATATATGGACATGCGTGCGGCTGAAACAGCCCTGCAGACCCTCAATGGCCGTAAAATCTTTGACACCGAAATCCGAGTCAATTGGGCTTACCAAGGTCAACAAAACAAGGAGGACACGACAGGTCATTATCATGTCTTCGTAGGGGATCTCAGCCCCGAGGTCAACGACGAGGTTTTGGCAAAGGCCTTCAGTGCTTTTGGTACCATGTCGGACGCTCGTGTCATGTGGGACATGAATTCTGGGAAGTCTCGTGGCTATGGCTTCCTTGCCTTCCGAGACAAAACAGACGCGGAGCAGGCAATCGCAACCATGAACGGCGAATGGTTGGGCTCCCGGGCAATCCGTGTCAATTGGGCAAATCAAAAAACTCAAGGAGCTCCTCCCACTACCACTGCTTCCTCTCCTAGGCCCGGTGGTGCTGTTACGACTGGTAGCGCGCCTGCACCCATCAATTTCCAAGGTGGTCCTCTCTCCTACGAGTCTGTCGTGCAACAAACACCAGCATATAACTCGACCGTATACGTTGGGAACCTTGTTCCGTACTGCACCCAGGCCGACTTAATTCCTCTATTCCAGTCTATCGGGTACTTGTCTGAAATTCGCATGCAAGCCGATCGTGGCTTCGCATTTGTCAAATTGGACACCCATGAGCACGCTGCCATGGCAATCGTACAGTTGCAAGGTCAGATGGTGCATGGAAGGCCCATCAAGTGCAGTTGGGGAAAAGACAGAGCCGATGGTGGAACAGCTCAACCTGGCGGCCCAGTCAGTCCGACCACTGCAGCGTCTCCTTACGGAAACATGGTAAGTCTCCGCAGGTTTCAACCTTTGTAAAAGCAAATTAATGGTAACCAACTCAGCCTATGTACGGTATACCGCAGCCAACTTCATATGGTCAATACGGTTTTGGGGGATACGCAGGGTTCCCTGGCCAAGCCGGAGCAACTCCTGGCACTGCGGGCCCTGGTTCCCCCGGCATGCCGCAAGCCAGCGCAGGCGCAGGCGGGTTAGGATTGGCCGCCGGATCCCAACAAGCTGGTGCGGATTTAAATGCTGCTGGAGGTCAGGGAGGTCAAGCACAATGGGGCGCAACAGATCCAAGTTATTATTCAAATTACTGGGGAGGTGGGTACCGTATCCGTCAACTATCCCGCAATCTAATGCTTTACCTTCTTTAGGTTACTACGGCCAGGCCGCAGGTCAACCGACTGGAGATGCGCAGATGCAAGGTCCTGCCTAACTTAGGAGTCTTAGCAACGTCCTCGACCTTCTCTTTTACTTTTGTCGTTGGCCGTTCTCACGCCTTGTTGCACTGTTTCCCCCTCTCTAAACCCCATCTTACACCTTCAACTATCTTGTCCTTTTTTCACCCCTTGCAAAGCCAGTTCCCGCATGTATTCATGTTAAATAATCGCAAGAATTTTCCTCTTTCCTCTTTATTTTATGTATGCCCGCTGCCAGAAGGACACTCTTCGAATCTCATTCTGATTCAGCATAAAATCCTCATGAGTTGTTTCATTGATGTCAGCAAAGGATACCAGAGAGAGCGGGGTATAAAAGTTATTGATAAAGAAAATCCTCTATAAGAGGCCGAGTTGTTCAATCACCAATCATTAACCATTCGGAGTCAGATCCAGCGTCTGCGACGTTGGTGACTGCATTCCATCCTTCACCGGAATAGTCTGACGTTCTTCGCTCCTCCCCCCCTTTCCCGACACTGATTCTGAAGTCTGTGATGTGGTGTCTGCGCTATTGCGAGGATCTGCTGCGACCTCTTCTACGGACCCCTCGCGCCAATTGAGAACAGCTTGATGTCTCGACCGCATGTTTTCGTAGAATTCATTGGCTTCGTTCATCTTGTTCGCTTCAGCTTGTTTTGCATCAAGCCATCGCTGAAGAAGTTTGGCGTTGTCCTTCGTTAGAGTTTGGTTACGTTCTTCGATCTGACCGAGTTCTAATTGCAAGGTACTGATCTCGTCGTGCAAAATCTAGAAACGAAATATCTGAACCTGCAGCAGTGAACAAATAATGACGCCCCACCTGGACAGTCCTGTCTTTCTCTGCCATCAGTTCGGCATGTTGGTCTACTTTGCGTTTGAGAGACGCAATCTCGTCTTTGGTTTTCCGGTAGTTTTCCGAATCGATCCTGGCAAGTTCTTCCTTTTCGCGAAGGGTTTCATTCATAGAGAGTAGACGTTGGGCATTTTGCCCCTGTGTCTTGTACACAGTAGCCAGCTCATCGCGTAGAGATGATATCTGTGATTCCAGAGATGCCATATATGCCGCGCGTACTGGGTTGCTGTCCAAATCGATGAGGCACAGAGAATTGACGAGGGCCGGGGCACTAACTCTTCACTCGCCCCTGGTACAAAAACTGTAGAACTACTTGGATTCCCCTTCACGGAGCCCACGGCGCGTAGTAAAGATGCATTCCTCTCCTTTAAAAGTTTTGTCTGCTGGGCAAGCCTGCGGTCTTTTAGAAATGAGCACAGTGGCGAGAAGAATACAGAAACGGTACTTACATTGCTCAATAATTGACGCGAATGCTGATTCTCTTGCATTCCTCTCAGCTAAACGTAGGCGTAAGGTTTCTTGCCATGAGGGTTCTGCCATCTCTAGGGCGGGAGGATAGAGAGTCTGCGGAGTTTGAACCACTCCAAGCTTGTGCCATTTACAGCCTTATATTGTCCTTCCCTCGCCATCCTTCGCAACTATCATGGGCCGTGTCTTGCTCAAAGTACGTCCCTCCACCGTTCTTCTGTTTGACTTCTCACACATGTGCAATAGGTTATCATCCTTGGCGACAGCGGGTTCGTCATTATTCCTTGACTACACTGCGTGTCGCTCATATCTGCCAGGGTTGGAAAGACGTCGCTTATGAACCAGTATGTCAACAAACGCTTCAGTAATCAGTACAAGGCAACCATTGGTGCAGATTTGTGCGTTTACTTTCGCCTGGATTGAATTAGCTGGTAATTTCGACCACAGCTTGACGAAAGAGGTTATGGTGGACGACAGGCTCGTTACAATGCAGGCAAGCAGCCCTCCTCATCACAACTTCCATTATCACTCACTTCCTGCAGCTTTGGGACACCGCGGGGCAGGAACGTTTCCAGTCTCTAGGCGTCGCGTTCTATCGAGGGGCAGATTGCTGTGTCCTTGTATATGATGTCAATAGTGCCAAATCCTTTGAGACACTTGACAGCTGGCGGGATGAATTTCTTATCCAAGCCAGCCCACACGACCCAGAGAATTTTCCATTTGTGGTGCTTGGGAATAAGATTGACGTTGAAGAGGGGAAGCGACAGGTAAGCTAATTATCTTCAACCTCGGTCTGGTCTTTCAGACGCCGTCAACAGGTGACACAGAAGCGAGCGATGACGTGGTGTCAGTCGAAGGGAAACATACCCTACTTTGAGACGTCGGCGAAGGAGGCCATCAACGTAGAGCAAGCTTTCCAAACTGTGGCCAAGAATGCGCTGCAGCAAGAGGCGGAGGAACAACTGTTAGTGGTCGTGCTTCCTTACTCATTGTTCCCACTGAATATTCGATAGATACGTGGATTACCCTGATCCCATACAGCTGGATTCTGAGAGCTCGCAAAGCTATGGTTGCAATTGCTGATCTATCAACTACGCTTCTGGCGTCACTGAGGCCCTCGTCTTTCATCAGCGTATCATGTTTACCCTACCTCCCTCCTGTTCATACATTCTATTTTACTTACATTCCGGTCACTTTTTTTTTTTGGCTTATACACCTAATCATTCCAAGTCTTTATCACTTAACGTCGTCATTCTTGTAAAGGAACGATTCCCTTAAGCGCTTGAGTCTTGGCGTAGTAGGTCGTGTGAAATTTGCGTACGATAAACTGTCATTTATCACTTGAACTATTTTCTACCTTCCACTCTCCAGTGCACAAATAATGGGTAAAGGCAGCAAGTCCAAAAAAATCGTAGAAGAGTCTGAGTCTGAGGTTTATCACGTCGGTATGCAGCCACCCAGCCCTGCCTTGGATCCTACCTCATACGTCTTAGAGGTCATTACAAAGGCCCGTGTTGTTGTTGACAGCGCAGACGAAAGTAGCGACCAGGAAGGCGACCGATCATCCAGCAGAAGGAAGAAGAGGAAAAGGAAGAAAGAGAAAGAGAAAGAGAAAGAGAAGAAAAGTGAAGCGAGATGGGTCTCTCTGTCGTTATTCAAATCTGTCACCAAAACTCACATGAACATTTAGGAATACTACGTCAAGGTAGAACATTCGATTGACCTCTTTTATACTCCTTCATTTTGACCTCGATACTAGTGGGCCGGGTACGATTCGGAAGCCAACAGGTAATTTCCTTGGAACTTTTGGCTAAAGGGCGAAACTAATGGCTTTTTGGAGCTGGGAACCTCAAGAAAATCTTGAAACTTGCGTCAGACTTTTGGGCAGTTTTTGGGAACATGTCGGTATGGATAACCAAGACTATCCAGTGGGATACGAGGCGGTCGCGAAGGACCACTGGATCAGTTGAGTATTGCGTTCAACCTTTATGGTCCTTTTATCGTTACGAGATTTCACTTAGAGAAGGAGAAAGATCACTTTGCTGCCGAGTTTCGAAGTGCACAAGAGAAAATTAGGAGGGAGAAGGAGGCCCGAGACAGTACGAAAAAGGTTAATCCTCAGGCCTTGCCATTACTTCAAAACCTCTCAATATATTGCTTTACAGTCCAAGAAGTCCAAACGAGAATCAAAGGAAACTTGGAATTCTGTTGTTTCTTCGTCTAAGTCCGAGGTTGGCACAAAAAAAGACGTAAGGGAGGTGAAATATCACTTGAATAACCTAACGCACCACTTAGAAACATAAGCCTCATCAGCCGAGCACGGACTCGGAGGACGACATACCATTGTCAGCCATTTCCAAAAAAAGGAAGCGACATGCCATAGTTCACAGTGACGATGTCGAGGTAAGGTTCGCTCCAGTACTGAGCACCGTATTGACAGTTAAGAATCTCCAGGACTCCATGTTGAAAGATGGAGAGTACACACCAGCCCGGAAATTGTTTAAATTGAATGACTCCAGTCGCATCCCAGTCACTGAGAAGGTGCGTACTGCCAACATTTACCGATGCAGCATCCAATTACGCTTTCAGGACAAAAAGGGTGTGGACGGTCATGCTGCACCAGCTTCACCAACGTCACTTTTTTCGGAACCCTCTTCTCCCGAGGAACCATTAATTTCCGCACAACCTCGGCCCCTCCCTATTTCCTCAGCGCCAGCTCTTCCTGTCAAAAAGTTTTCAAGTAGCGGCACCTCTATAACGATCCCACGTCGTCCCTCTCACACACTCACAAAAATGACTAGTTCAGCACTAGATGTGGCTTCATCTGGAAGTGGACTTTCAACCAAGCAACGCCTTGCCCAAGGAGCACTGGAACCAAAACGGCCGAATGCACCATATCTCTCCAAACCTAAAGCAAATGCTCCCTTGCCCAGTAAGACTGTGTCGGCCACCGTGATGAAGTCTCTCAGTTTCAAGAAAAAACCTGCGCTTTTAAGCGTCAACACGACTCCAACACTCAGCCACGACGACATTCATCATGCCCCTAGCCCAACGCTGCATCAGATCCAAGAACCAACCCTGGCTTCCCTGAATGCTTCCCCGTATTCCCCCCTTTTGGATGACACTCCAGTCGCTGGCCCCTCTCAGGTCAACAATGCACATGAATGGGCGCCATCTTTCAATGATCCTTTTGCTGATGATAGCATAGACCACTCACAGTATCTATCTTCTGAATTACCATCACTTCTTATTGACAAAATGGGCTCAACAGGACATCCGTTTTCCCCCCAACCCCGACAGATCCGCTCATGGTTATGGCCAACAATTTTCTGGAAGGAATCATGCCACCCCAGTATGCCAAACTTTTTTCTAAGTTTGCGGCGCATTAACGTTGTTATTGCAGAATTATCGCTCCCTTACGGTTAGTTAGTCTTCAAACTTCATGTCTTGGAAAGATCTCACGTCAACTAAAGGCCCACTGCCGACACCAGAGTTGAACCTGTTCCTCCACCTTCTCTATATCGTAAGCCTGCGTTGCCTGCCCGGTAGGTTTCCGGAATGAAGTGACAACAACCCACATCTCATTGAGCTCAGAATTCCCAAAAAATGGCGATGGTCGGGGACGCTTTCGATGGGTTCGGGAAAGGGGTTATCTGTAACCCTGCAAGACGCCATGGAATCCAAACAAGATTCAATGCGTTTTTCGGTCGCTTTGGCAGCTAACCAGACTCTTCTAGTTCCCAGTCTTCACGACGCCGATGATCTGAAATACATTTTGTACGCATGCCAGCTTCCCTCATCGCTCGCGCGGCTCGGACCACAGGGAGAGGAAGATGCTGGCCCTTTAAGAACGATCGCTCAATTCATGAGTAAAAGTCACAAGGTAAATAATAAGCATTCACAGCTTCCTACCTGGTGACACACTTAACAGGTTGCTCTATCGCCGATATATCTCGACGAGCAACTGATCGGTCACATTCTTCTTTTCCCCCCGACGATAGATCATTTGGTCAAACATCTCAAAGTCCCACCGGACCTCCGGCAGTCAGGTAGTTTAGTTGCTGCACTCATTTCTTGGTCTCTTCGTCCAGCCCAGCTTTCGTGTCGAGTAGACAGACCGTGCAGCATATTCCTGGCACGGAATGCGAAAATGCCTCCTAGGGCAGAAAAGTCTACATGGAACCGTTCACTTCGTTCCATGGTGTCTTATCATCATGCCCTTCGCGTTCTGTCCTTCCCGCACCTGCTTCATGAATTTCTCACTTCTGGATCCAGTGATCGAGGATACTACGCATGGCTTGGACGGAGTGATACCCGCCATTCAAAAAAGCAGGGACTGGAGACAGCATTTCTCCACAACATCATGGCACAAACGGGTGCCAAATATGTCGGCTCCAATGGCACCCCACGGGTGGTTTTTGTTCATGTTGGTGCTCTTAATACCCTCTACAAACTCCCGAAATTTCCGGAATGGAGGGCAAGAACGGCCATACACTTTTATACATATGGTACTCATGAACGTGTTCCCTGCACTGTCTGGGGAATACGCGAAATTTATCCATGTGGTATGACATAATCTTAAACTAGTAGATATAATCTCACTTCATTTCAGGGGGAGTTGTTACCTTTACTCCAAGTGCCCTGTCCATGGATCCTCCCTCCGTCATTCGCACAATTAAACAGATCAGCAAGCACCCACTTTGGACTTGCTACGTCATGCCATCTGTTCTTGGAATGCTGGCGAGATCGGCATGTCTGGCTGAAGACCCAGTCGCTGCCCTTAACCAGTTAGTTCCCTTAAGAAGAGCTGTGAGCGTTACGAAACCACTGATGTCAACAACAGGGCCAAATTTCCATACAAGTATATTTTGGACGCAATCGAGGTGGGGGAGCTTGCATTGCTGCATGCACCTCCTTGTAGTCGAAACCACCCCCAATCTGCATCTCAGGACTGGCTCTGGAGCCATTTAACCTTTAGCTCCTTGTCTGGTCGTAAGGCCCTCGAGATCAGTTTGAACACCTTCACTTCCAAGTTTTCAAACGTTCCTGAAAGTGATCTACGTTCAAAAATGGATGAAGAGATCGCCCAAGACTTGTCAATTATGCAGCTGCAACCAGCTATCATGCGGGATTATCGCCGTTTTGTGATCTTGAAATACGAAAGCCAAAGTGTCAAGATAAGCCCGCAAGGAGTACGTGTTTCGTAATAAAGTGGCCAATGCTCATATTTATTTCTCCAGCTCGAGTGGATATCTTTGTCCAATTTCGATTTCAAGGACGATTTCCTCACAACAAGGCCGTAATTATGTGACGGTCCAGTCATTGATATCTCAATCGAGAACAGGGGAAGGGCCTGGATAGCTCGTGTGAATTTGGAATCATGCTCGACACGTGACGTTAGTGGGGGAAACCCCACTTCTTTCAGAATACCTTCAGCGATCCTCGAGTAAAACTTAGTTATAACAAAGCATTATTGCCCTAACGCAGCACAATTGTCATAGCCAAACATGACTGCCTCCGTCGTTTCGTAAAAAAAAATCTCAACATTTCGTGTATCACTAAGCAACATTCAAAGTTTGAACGGCGTTCGGGGGTATGCAACATTGGCTGCAGCAGCATCGTCCACAAACCAATACAGCTGGCCGGGGTACACGGGTTTTACTCTTGCCGAGGGAAGTCCTTCCTCAGGGACATCCAAAACTGACCTAAGGGTCGTCGCCTTTTCTTTCCCAGCCGCAACGAACACGATCCTCGCGGCGTGATTGATCACTGGGTATGTGAAAGTGATGCGCTTCGGCGGCGGCTTGGGGGAGTCATTTACGTATGCAACCCAACGGTCCTCCTCCAGAAGGAGCTCATGACCTGGAAAGAGAGATGCGGTGTGGCCATCCGGACCCATGCCCAAGAGAATGACGTCGAAGACAGGGAAACGGGCAGAGTCTTTCTGAGCGAATTCTCGAATGAGATCTTTCTCATACGCATCAGAGAGTTCTTCCAGGTCATCGAGCAGAGACGTGTCAATGTGGTGGATGTTTCCCTCTGGGATAGAGACCTTGGAGAATAAATGCTCCATGCATGCCCGATGGTTGGAGTCTGGGTGATCAAGGGATACGACACGTTCGTCGACGTAAAAGACCTGCCTAAAGAGCATTCAGAAAGAGCAGAGGTTAAGGCTGACGTCAAACAGACCATTTATTCCATTTAACTGCTGGGTTGCCAATGAGGCCCCTCAGCATCTTTGGAAGCGACCCGCCAGAGAGGGCGATTGTGAAGCGGCCCTTTTTGTCGATAGAGTCTTTCTGGGCTTTGACAAGAAAAGCAGAAAGAGAGACAACGAGGGCGTCCGCGTCTGGGAAAGAAACGAGAATGGGTGCGTTTGGAGGTTGGTGGACGGTGGCCATTTTGGTAGCGGTTAAATTATGCAGAAGCAGCAGTTAAGATTTAGATTAGATGTTGGGATAAGAATATGATGTCATGATATTACATAACTAATCAATAAATATGCCACTCGTTACTAGTTAGGTACTCTTTAGGAGCCCCTGATCGCTGTAAGAGTGCAAAGTCAGTACTTTGCAGTTATTGCGCGAAAAATTCGCACTATTGTCGCCTGGCAACATCCATTTGTCTACCACGTTCCATCTGTCAGTCCCTTCCACCGTAGTGCTTGGAATCAGGGCCAGTGGTGTCGGTAGCACAATCTGAATTTGGCCGTGACGGCTGTGAGGCATTCCTTGAACAGAATGTCGACTAGTCCGTGACACAAACGTATTGTGAGAAGACGACATGGATAAAGGACGCGGACGCCGAAAGGGTGGAGGCGTAGCTGTCAAATTTCCAGCTTGGAGACTCAGGGTATGACCCGAGAGCTCCGCTTTGGTAGAGCCGAGTGACGAGGATGAATCGAGGGAATAATGTAATGTAGGAATGGGGAGGGGTCGTTCGGAATTTACTATCAAGCCTGGCCATTCATACGTATCGCTTGTCGGCGAGGATGGTGATGAAGGGTTAATATTTCCCAAGTGTTGCTCGCCAATCAGAGATACCTTGCTTCCACTTGGTGAAGGAGTGTAAGAAGGGTGATATGCGGACAACCGCGTTGATCCTAACGTCCGTGTACGGCCATCTGCCTGCGCGAGCTGCTCGCGATGATGTGACAAGGGTTGAACAGGGGGCAGAGGATTCGAATTTGCTGAGCGACGAAGTTTGCGGATGGTGCGGACGAGAAAAAAAGCAAGGATTGTACCGCCTACGGAAGCACAAACGGCGACAATAATGATATTTTCTTGAGACAAGCCCGCAAGATGGTGGTCGGAGGCGCGGGGGTGGTGGTTACGAAAGGAAATCTTCATAATAAGGAATGTGAGGATCAAGTGAACGTTGTAGTAGTGGCCAAAGCCAGCCTCAACCGAAGCAGACGATGCCAACCACAAAAGAGACGAAGGCCAAAGCTGAGCGGACTCTTAGTTTAGCGGTAGGTATGATGTACCTTTTAGAGGGTCATGAATCAAATAATTTCCGACATCACGTGTGCTGAGCACAACCCGAGCTCATCGAGAGCAACGATGAGCTCCTTCACTCGCCATCGACCCGCTCAGTCGTCAATTGCTTCAGTAGGGCCAAATAAACTCACGCAACAATCTCTTGCAAAGCGCCTTCTATTCCATTCTCACCCCACAGACGAGCTTCCACCTCTTTTTATCTCAGAGACCCTCCCACCAGAACTTACAGCGGAAGTCTACGACTTTATAGCCCTTGCCCTACGCGCCTATATCAACCCATGGTGGACGAAAATTACCCGATATGATAAAGAGTTCCTTCCTCAAGTTACCCACATCCTCGTCATCGTTATTCGCGCTCTCGAACTTCGGATACAGCGCCTGGATTTTCCGGCACTCGTTTTTCATGACATTCCCACTATTCTATCCCAACACTACGCTGACTACCGCAATGCTCTCTCAAAGCTTTCAACCTCTTATGCATCCGGTGGTGCTGCTTCTTTACCGCAGCTCTTTTCTCAGATGCAACCTCACACAGCCATATTACCGGACGGCAAGATCGATCCAGAATATTTCCGTCAAGTTTTCGATTATATCCTGAGGGTATGTCTACCACTAGAAGATCACGAAGCGGAAGCGGAGCGTATTATTGTTCGTGAAGTCATTATCAAAGTTCTTCTAGATGATGTCCTGCCCAAAGTAACACAGCCATGGTTTATCCAGAAAACTATTCTGGATTTGCTTGGGCCCTCTGCAGAGGAGGAGTACATGGTAAGTTGTTGCAACCCTTCTATCCCTCCCATTTCGATAGACTTTGTTTCGACAGGGACCATTATCAGCGCCACCATCCTCGTTCTCCTTCCACAATCTGCTTATTATTATCCTTTCTGTATTGCAATCGTTCTCAGGCGCATGCATTGCCCTAATTCATGCCTACAAACAAGCAATTATTACCATTAAGCTTGTTCAGCATTCGCCTCCTTATAGATCGTCGACGCTGCCGCCACAAACCGGACACACAGTACCACCATCTACCTCTCCCGTTGCCGACCAATCACACAAATTTGTACCTCCGCCGTCCATCTCTCCTACAGCGTCAACATCCTCTTCAACGTCCTCCTACCGACCTCAGCAGTCGGCGTCAATTTCCGCAGAGTCTCTAACTATTACGCAAGTCGGCGGTAATTACGCTGCTCCTGGCCTAGCTATGGTCTCAGAGGGCTTTTCTACGCGAGATCGATTTTCTTCCAACATTTTTCACATGATGCTTACCATGCTTTCAATATCCATAACCTCTTTCCTGGACAAACTACTACCATATCTTCTCCTGAATACCCTTTCTCCTGCATTTATTCTGAACATCACGCGATTATCCAAACGGACCCTCTTTCCCAACGGATACCCTGGTCCTCAACCTCAAGAACCGACCCTCGAGGAGCAAGCTGAAATACGCGCGAAGCTTGTCGCGTGGAGAGGAAAGGGTGTTCTGTGTACGTTGTGATACTTTTGACTCTGTTAAAAGTTATGATAACTTTTTTTACTAGCATATTTCCTTCCCCTTATTCTTGGCCCCCGTCCATCAGATACTCTTGGGGCAGTAGTGGACCCACTTTCAAGTGCCCAATGTAACACGCACCTGTTAGTCCTCATATTGGACACGGTTCTTATGGGATTATTTCCAGAGTTGGCCGATGGCCTGGGCAAATCCGAGTAACCGGAGTTCAGACATTATGACCGACTTCAGCCTGTCGATAATTAGTTGTAACTCAATCAAGGATTTGTTATGTGTAGCATGTATTCGATGGCGTGCATCGTAAATAATAAGGTCATGGAGAGGAATGCACAAGGCAGTCTCCGGTCGTACTAAGTAGTTGGTCATCGACTTGGAAAAGACGTCGCCTAGCCGCCCTGAACACTCTTAGTGCTAAGTGCGTAGAGCCGCAAAGCCAAGCATGTCCTATTCATAGCAACCACTGAACAGATCAACTATTGTCGCAAACATCTTGAAACTGGGTTCAAGTACGAGATACGAGAAGGTCGGCCACCCCGTTCTAATTTGACTTCTCGGAGGTTGTCAACGTGACATCAGGTTGGCCGTAATAATATCGTTTTCGCCCAACACCTAAAAACCAGCAGATTCTATACGAGATCAAACACTCAGAATCTCGTGAGAGGCAAGTAGATGTAAAACTCACCTGGTCACATGCAGAATAGCACAAAAGCTCACATTCCCGTGAGTTGTTGTGTTCCAATTGCGAGGTGTATATTTCACCTCTTCAGGCAACAAGATAAAAGTGGTCCCCGCACTGAAACCGTCATCAAGAACTATGCTATCCCTTGAGAGATCACTCACTGGACGATCTGTGTACAATTAGAACCAACCATTTCAAAAAACGTGGGGACTCACGTCTATAATCGCGAGCGCAATCATAAGGCCGCCCACAATCCTCTCCTGCGCTACAAGATTATTGCGCAAGGCGTCTCGAGCGGCACGATACCCGAGTGATGTCAGAAGAAATAGAAGAAGGTAGCCTATAACGAATCAAATTCGGATTCTGCTTCCATTAGGGACGTCACGGAGTATGGGCGTACTGATTGATAATTGCCAAATGGCCATTGCGGCACGGGGATCCATATTTTCAGGTGGAGGGCCAGTAGGAGGAATGACCTCGTTGTAGAAAGCACTCGGTCCGGATATCAAGGTCATAATGATGGGTCCGATGGCAGAGACTGGTGGAAAGTGGTAAGTTGGGTCTATGCTGAAACAAAGATAATCTCACTCGGCTCGAGATGCAGAAACAAGAAGTTGTAAAAACCCGGAAGAGCTGGAAAGTCGGACATTTCTAATCGGTAATGGGAACCAGACGGATTCTTGGACGTTGAACACCAAGGCTTTATAGAAAAGCAAAGACGCTCATCACGAACCACCTGATCAGGGACACTTGGCGTGGATCAAAAGCTGAGCCGAAGCACCCTGGAAGCACCTGTCAAAAGCAGCACGGTGATATAATAATAAAGATGGGAACGAGGACGAAGGACCTACAAAGGATCTCAACTAGCCGTCTACATTGGCAATGGTTCAGGCACAAGGTGAAGACAAAAAGAAAGTGCTAGGCTGTGCTAGGTAGCAAGTACACAGATTAGTCAATTCTCAGATCTCGGTCCTTGCATTCCACTTAGATTACTTTGGTGTCCCTGGTTCGACTTTGACCGTAATAGTATCGTTTCCGGCCAACCCCCATGAACCATGTCAATCTATAGCACGGCGGAGTAAGATAAATGGCCACACACGTAAAATCGCACACACCTGACGGCAAATAAGATGATAACCACGGTTATATTACCATGAGTCATGCTGTTCCAATCGGCGGGTGAATACTTCAGGTCAGAAGGCAGCCCCATAAACGAAGCGAAAATGCTGAGGGAGCCGCTTAGGGGCGTCCTCTATTTTTATAACAGCAAGAATTGAACGTACTGGGTTAGCTGTCAAGACATATCAGTTTGTGAGTGGGGAGGAGAAGTGGGACAAACGGACGTCAGCGATGCCAAGGGCTAAGAAACTCGCGCCGAGGATGCGCTCCTGGGCAACTGGATTGTTAGGAAGCGCGTCTCTGACTGCGCGAAAGACGAGAGACGAAATGAGACCGAGTAGAAAATAACCTGTAAGAGAAGCATAAGGATAGGCAGAATGATCAGAGTGAAGCCGACATGCAGTTTGTTAACTGCCATACGGCCATCAGGGTACGTGGCTCCAAGGAAGCGGAAGGAGGAGGTGCGGAGGAAGGTATGAGTTGATGAAGGAACCAGGCAGGACCTGGGGAAACCCAGACCATTAGGACTGGGGCCAATGTGGATACTGGGCAGGAATGGGATGAGCTTGAGCACGACAGCGATGAACAAAACTCACAGGGTTCAAGATACAAGAAAAGGAGGCGGTAGAAGCCTGGGAGGGCAGGAAAATCGTTAGCCATGGTCAACGTTGACTTGTGTTCAGTGACAACTATTGAATCACACGACATGAACCTTCCACAGATTGACAGCCCAGGCTCGTCCGTTTTCGACCTCCCCATACAACCTGCACCGGTATTTCGTCCACTTGCAACTCCATCCCGTCAATACCCGTCAATCAGCACGCCGTCCTTCATCGTGTTGTCCGGGGGAACAGGGGGCAATGCGATTTGTTCAGCATTTGGGCTAAATGCCACCTATGTCCTACCCGTTTCTGACGATGGTGGCTCATCAAGCGAAATTATAAGAGTCCTTGGTGGTCCCTCAGTTGGTGCTCTTCTTGTCAGCAATCCATAAGTAAATCCGTATCTGACCCATCTCAGGCGATATTCGTTCCAGACTTGTCCGTCTCATTCCTCCCGCACCACCGTCGTCTCCCTTGAGTGCAATATGTAAGCTCCTAGCGTACCGCCTTCCGGCGCATTGTGGTCAGAGGGAAGCTCGCGATGAGTGGAGGGACATTGTTGAGGGCCGTAGTTTTCTCTGGAAGGGTATTTCGAATGACCGAAAAGAAACTATACGTGGTACTCAATTGTGTTATTATAACTCCTTGGATTCTTGACGCACCTTTTGCAGGGTTTCTTGTTTATTTCGAGAGCGAGCTCCTGAAAAGAGCTCATAAAAATTTTGACTTTCGGAATGGAAGGTCTCCAACCCTCTCCTACAGTCATTCGCACTTCGAATTTTAACATGAGTTTTTAGTATAGGAAACTACTTCCTTGCTGCAGCTCAGGGATTCTTCCGATCGCTTCCAGCTGCCATATTCCTCTTTTCCTCGATCACTAACAGCCAGGTATGAAAATATTTTCTCTTCCTCTCCAACGCTCAAGCTATCCTGTCATTCAGGCCAACATATTGCCAGTTGTCGTCACGAATCACACAGTAACCATTGCTGCTGAATTGGTGACTCCAATCTTGATCCAATTTTCATTGATTCTCAAATACAATTTGTCCAAAGGAAGACGGCGAGAGAATGGTAGGACAATGCGAGATCTCGCACCCCGTAAAGCAGTCTCCAGCGCCCGTCAACATAACAGTCTCGGACGAGCGAGGAGAACTATCACTGTTGGATGGTTTGGGTCAACTGCCTGCACAACACCAAAATGTTATGTATGAACCAGAGAATGATGGGGCGTACGACAGACTGCGGTCCCGGATTTTTAGTGAGTAGCTTTGAACCATGTTGTACCATTCACTGAGAGCGCACAGGGGTTTACTACATCAATTCATATGGCATGGAAATACATCCGTCTCCAAACCCCGATTATATCTCCAACTTGGCTTCCAGAGATATCCTTGTTTACTCTTGTGGCTCGTTGTGGACGAGGTACGTATGAGAGCACTCCAAAAAGGATGACTTTGATTTCCGGTTGTTCCAAGCATCATCCCTTGCTTAGCTCTAAGGGGCGTGGCAAGAGCGATTGCAAGTTCGCCGTCTCTCCGTGCAAAGGTCTTGCTCTGTAGAAGAGTCCGCTCTTTGTTGTCAATATTTGTCTGAGACGACCTTTATAGTGAATTCGGAAAATGACAGAGAAACAGATGGGTATGACGCAGCAGATTACATACGGTGCGCCTTTAGTCTGCCCTATGACTGGCAATTTTGACACATCCTCTGCAGTGCGATCGTCCGTACGCTAAATTCAAACTACCACATTGAGCCTTACGGATTGGGAAATGCAAACACAACATACCCAGTATCTGCATTTGTCACGGATTTGGTATTCCTGAAGGGGACAACTGTGTCCGTGGATTTACCGAGAATTACAGTGAGTGGCATAATTGTTTTATCCTGGTTTCGTTCAATGAGACTGTTTCTCCAGTCGCTCGGTGTTAGATGCACAGAAGTTGATGGGGTCGCTGTAGGAGGGAGAAGCCAATTTGCAGCAGATAATATTTCGGATGTCCTGGCAAAGATTTGGGAGGAGCGCAAATTGTAGAATTGATTTGATATGCACCAGCGCTAATCCGTCTCCAAGGTTCGGTACTTATCTCCACACCCTTGGAGATCGCAGTTGCTTCATCGTACCCGTTGCTTCACCTGATTATAACATCCCAGCGTTTGTGGGCAAGCTGAGTCTGAAGAAGAAGGAGTCTACGGGACAGAGGAAATGAGCATCGCTGTATCCAAACCCACTGCACAAGGCGATAGTCATCCCAAAAGTGGTTTGTATTGCTGGACCTTGCCTGACGCCCAAATCTAACGATGCTCTGTTCAGAGAGTGTGCTTGGAGACCCTGACGCACATGGGCGAAATGTGTTGGGGGACAACGCCGTTGATCATCATATCGATCCTGGTGAAAGAGTACTGGAGCTCCCCTTTGCCAACGTTCAAGAATTTGAAATACACATCCATGACTCTCCTGATCCTTTCCCATGTACCAACAATTCGTGCGATGGTCTAATGGACCCACGCCGTGAAGATCCTGCCCAACCCCTCAGACCAACACATGTGAGATTTCGCTCCCGAGTTCGCATTACATCTGGTTTTCGCCGATATCGGCGACAAAGCTCTTTACACCATCAAACGGCGATAGATCATGACCTGTTTACTACTAGCTCTTCCCCGGAATCATTGTTGTCCAGTGACTCCGGTTCTGCATCCTCATCTATCTCTGCTCCACTCCGAGCGTGCGGAGAACCAGGTAAATCTGGTTGGGGCGTACTCGGCCAACGTATACGTTTTCTGCCACAGAACAACTCACAAAAACGAGGAAGCCGAAAAGGTCGACGAGAAACAAAGCACATCATTGCTAATGAACTAACCCCTCTAACATTGTCTCCAGCGCATCCATCATATCTCAACGCGCATACAATCGAATATGATAGCCTGGTTCACGAAGACTCAAGAATATCACAACGAATTTGGCCCAGGAGGTTGCCCAGTAACCGTGTATGTAGCAAAATGGACCCTTCTCGTCCAGCTGATAATAGCGCCTTGCAGTGGTGGTGGCGGCACCTTCATCTCATTATTTGCTGCCGGAGCACCGAAGAGTCTGATTGTTTAGTGGAATAACTTTCTTACATTGTACAGAGGAGCTAGTCTTCCATTTACCCCATGTTCTGAAGCATTTGGTTGTCCCGGCCAGATGCATTTTGTTTAATTGCCTGGGCTACCCTCCGCTACTTTTCGAGGCATGACCATCGTAGCAGGCAGTGTCGTAATGGGGGGCAGTAGGCTTGCAGCCGTCTTCCTTGAGTTCTGTATAAGGAGTTGATCCATCACTACAATCGCAGCCATAGCCTCAACAATCGGAACTGCTCTGGGTACCACACATGGATCATGTCGACCTCGAGCAGCCAAGGATCCTGGTGTTCCATCATACTGAGCCGTTTCCTGTGACTGTGAAATGGTTGCTGGGGACTTGAATCCAATCCTTCCAATAAAGTTTATAAAATGAACAGGAAATAGTAGCTTGCGTTTCGTACCGGAAGTAAATATCCTCTCCATTAGTAATCCCTCCTTGAACTCCTCCACTCCAGTTCGTTGCCGTCCCAAGACTTCCATCACTTCGGCGAATGAAAGGATCATTATGTTTGCTCCCGGGAACTTCGGTTCCACGAAAACCGGATCCAATCTCGAAAGCTTTGGTGGCAGGAATGGAAAGCATGGCGTGCCCAAGTGAAGCCTCGAACTTATCAAATACTGGTTCACCAAGGCCGGAAGGAATCCCCCGAATAACGCACGTTACAGTACCTCCAATTGAGTCCTGAGCATTCTTCGCTCGGATGATACGCTGTAACAGATGGTCAGGAGACTGATCCCGCCTGATATAAGAACTGCCTCACCTGTGTCATGCGCTCCGCCGTTTCATGATGAGGACAGCGAGTCGGGTGACTATCGACTTGCTCCCTCGAGATGGTGGCAAGCAACTGGCGGAAGTCGTCTGACAAAGCATCGTCCTCATCATCATCGTTTGAAGATGGGGTTAGAGATGGGGGAGCCAAGGCTGCTGGTAAATGTATTTTTCCAACAGACGACACAAAGGCGACGATTTCAATGCCATATGCGAGTTTGAGGTATTTCTCCGCGATAGCGCCAGCCGCTACCCGAGCTAGGCCGGGGAGGTCAAAAGAAGAAACGGAGCATAACGGCATCCAACTAACCGACTGTTTCCCGAGCACTACTCCTGCCTCCTCCACTGCTTGCCTTGATACCATATTTTTCTAAATAGGTGTAATCTGCGTGACTCGGACGAGGGTAGAGGTCTGTTTCCGAATAGTCGTGGGGTCTCTGATCTTCATTCTTAACAAGAAAAGCGATGGGAGTGCCCAGAGTCACTCCGTGTTCCAATCCTGATTGGAGATGGATGAGATCTTTCTCATCGCGCTGCGATGTGCACGTATGGTCAATGCTTGCAAAAGATCAACAAGATATCGCGTTCACGAACAGGAGTTGTGAGATTGCTCTGTCCTGGTCTCCGTCGACTGAGCTGAACTTGGATGTCTGCAGCAGATAGTTGCAAGCCCTGTTGGTCGGGAGGAGGTGAGTGAGGAGGTAACGTAGACGAGATCGTACATACGGGCGGACATCCGTCGACGACGGCGCCGACAGAAGCGCAATGGCTCTCGCCGTAGGTGGTTACGCGGAAAAGAGAACCGTAGGTCGACATTGGAGTATGAGTGTAATAGATGGGAATATTTATAAAAAAAATAACTCGGTGACCAAGGAGAAGACCGGAATTAGCAACTTCACTTTGCACCAACTACTACTAGCTACCCAATTGCTACCCAAACTGCTTAAGCATGTCTGCATCAGCACAAACGTCGGGCACAGGCTCTCGTTTGAGAACACAGGCACGCAAGAAAGTCAACGACGACGCCACCTACTCTGGACCTCCCTCAACAACGGGAGGGGGAGCGAAACGCCACGCGACCGACAAACCAGACGGGGAACCTCGCGTTAAAAGAAAAAGAGTGGAACCAAGCTACGCGGTTTCGGTGACGAACAGCAGGAAAGAGGTTACGGAAGCAGAGCCAGCTCTGTCGGTGGTAAGCTACTATATATGTTGTCGCATGTCGCATAGTACCAAGCTCATAGTCGCCTTCAGGTCGAATTCAATAAGATGTCAATAACAGTCCTCTACCGCTATCTGACTCAGTTCGACATTGTCCCGGATGTATATCCTTCGCCTCTCTCCCCAGCAGATCCACCTTCTCCATCCTCGCTCTCCAATCAACAGCGCCATACATCAAGGGCCCCCAGCCCGCCCGCATTGACCCCAGCCAACCGCCCGCGACGCGACGCGAAGGACCAGAACCGTAGACGAAGTTCGCGGTTGCTGGAAGAGGAGATAAGGATTCGCACACCAATTCTGGCAGACGTTGGGGAACTCCATGGGACGATTGCGGGGATTGTTGAGCGGCATTTTCGAGAGTTGACGTCAATCAACGGCAGAGAGGAGGTTGATACTCTGGCATCGTTCATGTGCGCAGTGGAGAAGGCGAAAGGGTTGAAGAATAAATATTAAAGTTCAAATCGTGTGTTATAAGGATATATAGCATAAGATTGAATACCTCAAGTTAGTCAAGTGGTAGGGATTGCTCAAGGATTGCCTCAATTATGGCCTCTTGCTATATCAAGCGGCTGCCGTTGTAATTGCTTGGCATTTGATGCCAAGAACAAAGATTGCCACAACGAAATTGACGGCAAGGGACCATCTTGGACCATCCCCGTTCAACTTGCAACAAAGAGGAACCTCATTCAAATAAAGGGTTCCCGTGGAAACAATGGATCATTAATACAATATAAGCGAGGTCCCCAACACTCCCATCTCTTTACTCCCATTTCCATCTCCATCTTTTTCTTTCCTGCAGCCGTGCTGCCTCTTGGCTTTCCTGTCCTTTGTACCAAGTAAGTCCTCTGCCAAGTACCGCCTCCCCACAACCCTAACTCAGCCTAACTCATGCCTCTCGTAGCTATCTTTGACATTCTTTATTGACTTCTGGAAGTCCTCTGATCCGCCAAAATGAAGTTTTCGACTTTTCTTGTTCTCCTTCCCATCATCTCGCATGCATCGGCCGTCGTCGTTTCTCGCCAGAAAGGCGGAAACGGGGGATCAGGAGGAAATGCCGGCAATCCACAGACCTCGCTAAGTAAGCAAATCACGTCGGTCATGATTGCGGTCTACCTCACACCGTTCAATCCAAGCTCTTGATCCAAAAGTTATTGCTGCTGGGTTCGCAAACAATGGTCAAGATGTTCCGGCCGCTGGTTAGTTCCTTTGTACCTAACATGATGCTAGTTTATATTCATCTCTTCACTGACTAGGCCAAGTGCCCTCCATCACGTCTACAAATAACTTTATCAATTTCTGCCTTACCGTCCCTAATCTTCCTATCACCAATGGAAAGCAGATTACGACCGGGTCATGTAATCCTGCTCCCATTGGTGCCATCCCTTCGGTTGACAAGATGCCTTCGTCGAAATTTACGAATCCAAAGAACGGTGGCACAGTGGCTGCCAACACAGCTTTCACGATCAGCATGGCAATCCAGAATCTCCAGACGGGTAACTTTGTCAACGCACAGGAAAATTACTTTTCCGCTCCTCAACAATTGAATAACCAAGGGGTCATTGTTGGCCATTCACATGTTGTCGTCGAGCAGCTAACCTCTCTTACACAAACAACGCCTACCGATCCAAAAAAGTTCGCCTTCTTCAAGGTACGCGGTTTTTCGCTGTTTTTACGATTTCTTTTTTAACATAAATAGGGTCTTAATGCTGCTGCCCAAGGCGGTGTCTTGACTGCCGACGTTACAAATGGACTTCCTGCCGGTTCATATCGACTTTGCTCGATCAATGCCGCAGCCAATCATCAACCTGTCATTGCCCCAGTTGCTCAGCATGGATCGTTGGATGATTGCGTTTATGTGCGCATCTTCCTCACCAACTCATGATATTTGTTATTAACGGCGAGTCTGTGATAGTTCACTTCGACGGCAGGTGGTGCCGCCAAAGGAAATAACAATGGTGCGGCCACCCCAACGCAAAAGGCTGCTGCTACCGCCACCGTAGGTTGGCTTCTGAGGCATTCCGCATGCGTTACTAACGAACTCTGTTTAGACTGGCGCCAAGGGTCGCAAGGCCCGTGCATTCGTACCTTGATGTGTTCTTAGCAGTTTGCTAAGATGTTTTTCTGCCTTTCGTTCTACTTCTTTTTTTGTCCATGTATGTAGGAAGATATCCTTTTGGCCAGGGGCCGGCCTTCGAAATAACGCTCCACATAGCCCATCCTTTTTCAGTGCCAGTTGAAGTTGGACGTTTGAAATTTCTTTTGCAAGTCAATGAATGGAAATTTGAATCAACACCTACCCCGCACTCCACATCTTTCGAACTAAATAATACTTAATGGTCCTTCTGCGGGTTGTGGATGAAATGCAAATGTCCTTTGCCTATTTGAACGCCGTTGTATGTGCATGTTATGAAATCCGAGTCGTTCTCTCCAGCTACACAAGCATTTAATCGGTACCATGTCTTCAGAAGATCTTGCAGAAGAAATTCGTGCAAGCTTTCCGGGAACTGAGGAGGTCATCGTGCAATACTTGTCAGGGTATCTCGTTGACGATGCAGGCGAAGAAGAGGATGTTCTACAAGTTGCCCATGACGTTCTGAAATCTATAGCTGGGAACCGCGACGATGTTCTCGAGAAATTAATGCTGAAGCTCGGTGATCTTCTGGAGGAACAGTTGCGTGCTCGTCTCAAAAACAAATCGCAACCGAAGCTGCAAAAGCTAGATAAGGTCATGGATATGAGTAAATCTCAACTCTCTAACACCATAGCGCTATCCGAAGGGGTGGATCTAGAGTCAATTAACAAGGGAAAGTATGTCCCCAAAAAACTTTCATAAAGCGCTGATAGTTTTACACAATATCCTAAGGGCCTCCCGAGTTGATGTCAAGAAGCTCGAAAAGCAAGAGGCCAAGCTCAGAGTGAGCGCATAGTTTTGGCCAATTGCAAATCGCTTTACATCCCATCTTTAGGCGAAAATCGAGAAACGGTCAAGGAGAGATCTTTATGAAGGGTCGAAACTCCTTGATGCCCATCGAAAACAAGTAAAACATGTCATTTCAGCTACATGCGACCCGCTGATCTCGTCTCTGCAGCAAACCTATGAAGAGCTGTTTATGAAGGCATGTCCGTTGTACCTATAGAAAGTGGTTGCTGATAAAACATACTAGATCAATCCACTGGATGCGAGCGCAAGTTCAAAGAACAAAAGCAAGGATATACATTTGCCTTCCATCGATGTTAATTTTGGTTCAAACCGCATCCTGTAGGTCCCATCAATTTGGAAGTTAATTGCCCGCTCAATCTGAAGTAGTTCTGGTGCCACACTTACTCTCGCACATGGACGTCGGTACGGTCTCATTGGTCGAAACGGTACTTAAATCCCTCTATTCCAAAATTTACACGCCACTCATATCGTCCTTTTCGTAGGTATCGGCAAGTCTACGCTGTTGCGTCACATTGCTATGCGAGAGGTGCCGATTCCAGCTCATATCACGATATTATTTGTCGAGCAAGAGGCATGTCATCTCCCAGAATTGAAAAAAAAAGAAAAATGCAAACTTGATCATGACAAGTAGATTATTGGCGACGACACCAAGGCCATTGATTCTGTTTTAAAGGCTGACGTCTGGAGGGATCATCTTATGAAGGAGCAGACGATGTTGGATTCAAAATTGGCGGAGCTGGACACAGAAGGCGACGACAAACGCTTCGAAGACGCTCGCGAGGAACTATCGTCAAGGCTTTCAGAGGTGCACACCAGACTATCCGAAATGGATGCAGCAAGCGGGCCTGCCCGAGCAGCTGCTCTACTTGCCGGCACGTTGCAAGAAATAAATTTACATTCATGATACTAATTATCTCCATCTAGGTCTGGGGTTCGACGAGGCAGATCAACAACGGCCGACTCGGTCATTTAGTGGTGGCTGGAGGCAAGTTCCATTTCTTTGAGACTTTATTCAAAATGAACTCTTCCGCTAGGATGAGGCTTGCCCTTGCTAGGGCCTTGTTTGTGAAGGTCTGTTTGCCATGTCTTAATATCAGAAAATTTTCATGTTACTCCAGCCGGCCCTTCTACTGCTCGACGAACCGTCCAATCACAGTGAGTTGTGTTCACCTTTATACATACCGTGTTTCTGTAGCTTACATTTTATTGCCAGTTGATCTCAATGCTCTCGCATGGCTGGAAGATTATCTGCAAACATGGCCTGGAACTTTGCTCGTCGTGTCAGGAATTTTTACAGTTTCATTTGTCAGATTTGGCTTATATGTAACGACAGATCTCACGATCGAGCTTTTTTGGATGCAGTTGCCACTGACATCGTCCATCAGCACTCCGGTCGCCTTGATTACTACAAAGGGTATTTCCTTATCTATTTCATTCGGTTCGTGCTTGACGCGTATCCCAGGAACTTTACACAATTCTATTCAACCAAGTCTGAACGTGATCGAAATATGCGCAAGGAGTACGACACACAGATGGACTATAGAAAGCATCTTCAAGCTTTCATTGACCGGTGGAGATACAATGCCAATCGCGGTCAGTTAATCCGATCTCTTTTCATGTACGATTCCTGAAAGATATAACCTTTAGCTGCGCAGGCTCAAATGAAGATCAAAATTCTAGAAAAGGTTCGCACGAATATTTGAAAACCCCTCATAGACTCAATGGTGCCATGGACAGCTTCCTGACTTGGAACCTCCTGAAGAGGAGGAAACCGAACAATTCAAGTATTTTGTCTTCCCTACCTCCTTGTTCAATGCCTTGCTGATACTTTTTAGATTTCCCGAAACTGACAAGATCTCTCCTCCTCTGCTGCAGATGTCGGAGGTGACATTCGGATATACCCCCGATAAACTCATCCTCAAAGGCATTAATATCGATGTTGGCCTTGACTCAAGGATTGCTATTGTGGGCGCCAATGGCGCCGGTAAATCGACGCTGTATGTGGTCATTCGCGTCAAAATGTTGGTTTGCTGAGTGGTACTTTGATGTTCTTCAGGATTAAGATTTTGACGGGAGAGTTGAGACCCCAGGCGGGACATGTCAACCGTAACGGGCGCCTTCGCGTGTGAGTCACTTGTCCAGTGAACCACAGATGCGCATGTCTGAATGTTTTGCTCTAGTGGATATTTTTCTCAGCACCACGTCGACATGTTGATTCCCACGATGACTCCAGTGCAGTTTCTGGCTTCCAAGTTTCCTGGAAAGAGTGAGCAAGAATACCGCGGGCATCTGGGGAACTTCCAGATCAGTGGCATGACAGGGTGCGTCTTTATACTGGCAGCTGGGGACCACAACGTCGAACGATTTGATTCTTAAGCCTTCAACTCATCGGAACACTGAGTGGAGGCCAAAAATCCCGTGTCGCTTTCGCGGCGTTATCATTACAGCAGCCTCACATTTTGTTGCTGGACGAGGTAAAGAATCTTCCGCAGTAAATTTCCGCTGGGTCTTAAAGCGACCATTGTAGCCCACCAATCATCTAGATATTGAGGTAGGCGAGTTGCTCTCGCTCGCTTCATAAGGTTTTGACAAAGTTTGTGGTCTAGGGTCTTGATGCGTTGATGGCGGCGCTAGGAAAGTGGAATGGCGGCGTGATCATCATATCTCACGATGAGCGATTCATTACCCAAGTGGCGAAGGAGGTAGTTTCTGCTTTTTCCAAACGGTTCAAAGCTAACGATATTGGCAAAGCTATGGGTTTGTGGTGACGGAACTGTCAAGAAATTTAAAGGAGACGTTCAAAGCTACAAGGCATGTTGTTTTGATTGTGTCGTGTCACTGGCACTGATTACAACTTCGATCGTAGAGTCTCATTGTCAGTAACATCAAAACAAAACCCTGAGAGTCGATATACCTCGAACCTCCTCCAAGAGATAGTATTATGTGGGGTACTACTAAGTGTGCGAGGTGTGAAGGATAATCGCACTTCATTGAAATCGTGAACCCAAGCACTTCAAGTACTCTTCTTTCCACCACAAGTAATATCATCCTTGTTGCAAGGTTATACTACGTATTTGAGCATTATTTTCGCGTAATTGCACGGGCTCACGTGATGACGGAGCACGCGACTCCCTTCAGTCGCGTGGATCCTAGTCAACCACCTTTCACCAACACTTACCAAAACCGTCCAGAGCCCCCCCACTTTCTTAGCCAGAAAATGAGTTCGTCTGATGGCGAGAAGTTTGATAGTAACTTCTCTGAGTCAGAGTCGGATGGCTACGCGGTCGTCAAGAAGGTATGTGGTTTCTACCTTGCCACTGACACTCCTCACGGCGTCACGCTGATAGGCTCCGCCAAAAACTAAAACCAACGGCAAAGTTATGGCGACTAAACCCACAACGAAGGCATCCGCCAAGAAGAAAGTTATTTTGGAAGACGAAGATAGCGATGATTCGATGGACGTTGACGAACGTCGAGACGCGTCAGAGATAGAGGACTCGAGGCCGTCGACCTCGAAATTGGATCCCATTCAACCTGCGAAGAAGAAGAAGAAGACTGCGTCGGAGACATACACAAAGGTATGGTGATATGTCCTTCATAGAACAATTTCTCATTTCCCCTTAAGCTTTCTCAACTAGAACATATCCTCAAGAGACCGGACTCATACATTGGAAGCGTAGAGACCATTACACAAACTATGTGGACCTTTGATGTGGATACCAAGCGAATGGTGCACCGCGATGTAAAATATGTCCCAGGGTTTTTCAAAATTGTTGACGAGATCTTGGTTAACGCTGCGGATAATAAAGTGCGTGTATTAATGCGTAACCCATTTATGCCTACTTACAAAAATTTCGAAAGATCAACGACCCTTCTATGGACTCCTTGAAAGTCACGCTCGACCTCGAGAAAAGTACCATCTCAGTCTACAACAATGGTCGTGGTATACCAATTGAGATGCACTCCCAGGAAAAGATGTACATTCCAGAACTCATCTTTGGCCACCTGCTTTCTTCCTCCAACTATGACGACGACGAGAAGAAGCTAACTGGAGGCCGTAACGGATACGGGGCAAAACTTGCCAACATTTACTCTCACGATTTCACGGTTGAAACAGCTGACAAAAATACTCAACAAAAGTATAAACAGACTTGGACGAATAACATGGGTATCTGTGGAAAACCCAAAATAACCAAGAACGCGAAAGGGGAGGAGTGGACTCGGATTACCTTCCGCCCAGACCTTCAGCGCTTTGGAATGGAAAGAATAGACGAAGACACCGCAGGACTCTTGCGGAAACGTGTGTATGATATGGCCGGGACAGTCAAAGACGTTAAAGTTTTTCTCAATGACGAGCGGCTGAAGGTCAAGAACTTCAAGCAATATGTCGAGATGTACATAAATTCCGCTCAAGCAGAGGCAACCGAGAATGCGGGAGGGGCCGCTCAACCAAAGCCCTCTATCATTTACGAACAAATCAGCCCTCGGTGGGAGATTGCTTTCGCGGTTTCGGATGGCAACTTCCATCAAGTCTCCTTCGCTAACTCTATTTCGACAACGAAAGGTGGCACACATGTCGCATATATCTCTGATCAAATTGCCAAGAACCTGGTAGCTGCAATCTCCAAGAAAAATAAAGCGGCTACCGTCAAGCCCGCCCAAATCAAGAACCATATGTGGATATTCATCAACTCTTTGATAGAGAATCCCACATTCGACAGTCAAACAAAGGAGACTCTCACACTGCCAGCCTCCAAGTTCGGGACAAAGCCGACACTAACGGAGGAATTCATGAAGAAAGGTTCGTTTTTGCGAATATTTCACCACAACCAGATGATCTTACTGTCGAAATCAGTTCAAAAGTCTGCTATCATAGATAATATCTTAAATTGGGCAAAGTTCAAAGCAGAGCAACAAATCAAGAAGACCGACGGAAGCAAGCGCAGCAGGTGACTATCGACAATTGCTGAACAAACAAGTTATTTACGCCTTGTCCAGGTTGTTGGGCCTCACAAAACTTTCAGATGCGAATAACGCAGGGACTAAACACGCGAGGGATTGCACACTTATTTTGACTGAGGGTGACTCGGCAAAGGCATTGGCCGTTGCTGGCTTGGGAGTTGTGGGTAGAGATAACTTCGGTGTTTTCCCCCTTCGAGGGAAATTATTGAATGTTCGGGAAGCGAAACATGATCAAATCATGAAGAACGAAGAAATTCAGAACATCAAGAAGATCATGGGTCTTCAACACAATAAAGACTACTCGAACACCTCGAGCCTCCGTTACGGGCGGCTGATGATCATGACTGACCAGGTCTGTTTCGCAATCATTCCCAGTTTAGATTCTTTTTCCCTGATGACATTCCTCAGGATCACGACGGTTCACATATTAAAGGCTTACTTATAAACTTCCTCGATCATTTCTATCCAACGTTGTTGAAACTTCCTGACTTCCTTGTGGAGTTTGTCACTCCAATTGTCCGAGTACGTTGCTAATAATTGTCCCATACTGCCTCGACTGACAATCATTTGTGAAGGTGAGCAAGGGTAAACAGCAGCGCGATTTTTTCACAATCCCAGAGTACGAACAATGGTCGGAAGACACTCCTGGTGCTAAGAAATGGGATTCGAAATATTTCAAGGCAAGAAAATGACCTAAAACAATTTATATTTTCTTTTGATATTGGCCCCAAAGGGTCTTGGCACAAGCACCGACGCTGACGCGAGGAACTACTTCAGTCATATGTCAAAACATATGATTCCATTTGCTCCTACTCAAGATGGCGACCGTGAGTTGATTGACCTCGCATTTAGCAAGAAGAAAGCAGACGACCGAAAGGAATGGCTCCGTCAATTCAAGGTACGCTCGTACTAGCCTACCATTCCATCTGACTAACACAAAATAGCCTGGAACGTACTTGGATCACCGCTTAGAGGAGATTCCCTATTCAGAATTCATCAACAAGGAATTGATTCTCTTCTCAATGGCGGATAACGTTCGCTCCATCCCCTCAGTTGCCGATGGATTGAAACCTGGTCAACGAAAAGTGATATGGGGCTGCTTCAAACGCAAACTGAAAAAGGAAATCAAGGTAAAGTCGTGAAGGACACGGCTTTTTGATAAACACGACTAATCCTCTATTCCAGGTTGCGCAACTTGTCGGCTATATTAGTGAACACGCAGCTTACCATCATGGCGAGGTGAGCTTGGCACAAACGATCGTCAACTTGGCCCAAGATTACGTCGGTAGCAATAACATCAGTCTGCTGAGGCCCTCAGGCCAGTATGGTACTCGAGACGTAGGTGGCAAAGATCACGCGTCGCCGAGGTACATCTTCACCGAGCCCATGCCTCTTGCGAGGGTTCTCATGCCCCCTGCGGACGACCCTTTGCTCAAGTCTCAAAAAGACGACAATGCAACAATAGAACCAGAATGGTACATGCCGATCCTACCTCTCGTTCTCATCAATGGGGCCGAAGGCATTGGTACTGGTGAGCGTCAAGATTCTAGAGCTTAATTATGGGCAAATTCATTCTCCACAGGTTGGAGTACAACGATTCCCTGCTACAATCCCATGGATATCGTCCGAAATATACGTAGGTTGATGAGTGGCGAGGACATTGTTCCCATGGTGCCCTGGTGGCGTGGTTTTAAGGGAGAGATTAAATCCGCTGCGAAGCACAAGTACGATGTCTTCGGTGTCGTAAGAAAAATCAACGATACGACGGTGGAAATCACGGAGCTACCAATCCATAAGTGGACTCAAAACTACAAGGCCGAGCTTGAACAGATGATCCTGGGTGACAAAGAGAAGGAGAGGGAAGGGTCAATAAAGGTAGCGTACTGCGACGGTATCCAGCATGCAAAACTAATATCTCAAATGTTCCAGGATTATAAAGAGCACCACGATAACTTGAACGTGCATTTTATAATTAATATGGGAGCAAAAGAACTTGAAAAGGCGGAACAGCAAGGCCTCCTAGAGTTCTTCAAACTTACTTCGAAGATCAACACAAGCAATATGATGTGCTTCGACTTTGATGGGAAGATCAGGAAGTATGATTCAGCAGAGGAGATTCTCGAAGAATTCTACCCAATGCGTCTAGCATTCTATCAAAAACGCAAAGTATGGAAACGTTTTTCTACGTGCAACATTTACCCTAACACATGATGCGAAAGGACTTCTTAGCAAATGAAATTCAGACCGCATTCGAAAAGTTATCCAACCAAGCCCGCTTCGTACAGATGATTATTAACAAGGATTTGGTAGTGTCAAATCGCAAGAAAGTTGACATTGTAGCGGACCTGCGTCGGCACAAGTTCAGATCGTTCCCCAAGGTGACAGGTGCGAAGGCGAGTGGAGAAGACGAGGAAGCTGAAGAGGATGAAGATAATGATGTCGGCGATCTCGCCGACTATGATTATCTTCTCGGTATGGCTATCTGGAGTCTTACTAAAGAGAAGGTTGGTGGAAATATATTCGCGCATAAGCTGTCGCTAAAGATAATTTAGATTGAGCGGCTTCTCCTGCAAGCTCAGGAGAAAGAAGTAGAGCTTCTAGCACTCTTGGAGAAGACCCCCAAGGACCTCTGGAACTCGGACCTAGACAGATTCGTGGAAGAGTGGGAAGTAGGTACCTGGCGATGTGGTCCTCAACCGGAGCTGACGATGGTCAACATTCTATTTAGAAAGATTGCTTGTTGTTTGAAGAGAAGAAAAACACCGACGCCAACGGGAAAAAAGTCAAACGCAAGCAAACCACCCTTAAAACACGCAAATCTATCGGAAAAGGTGGATCCGATGATGACGATGACTTCAAACCTATTAAAGCTGCTGCTCTGAAACGGAAGGCGCCCGAGTCAAAAGCAGTCAATTCAAAGCAAGGGAATGAGGATGACGACGAGAAGAAAATACCGATTGCGAAGAAGAAACCTGCGACAGCTGCGAAGAAGCTAGTTGTCAACAAGGATGACGAAGACAGTGAGCCTCCCGCACCAAAGCGTAAGATCGCAGGACCGAAAAAGCTATTGGTGAATGATGACGACGAGGAGGAGGATGACAACCTACGCTCGTCAACAAAAAAGGTAGTCCCGAAGAAAACAGTGAAAGACGAGTCCGACTCGGACGCGGTTGAGGTAATTGAAAAGCCAACGGGGAAGAAGAAGGGGCCTGCAAAGCTTTCAACCAACAGCGGTTCTGACGAGCCCGCAAAGACAAAAGGAAAAACAGCGACAAAGCGGAAAAGGTGCGACACAACTGATCAATCACTGTTTCGGATTGACAATGTTTGATGCAGCCCTGCGATATCGGACGGGGAGTCAGACGAAGCAGCGACCAAGCCGGTGAAAAAGAAGAAGACTATTACAACAGAGAGCGGAAAGGCGGGACCATCGAACGGCAAGGCTGCTGCTACGCAACGAAAGATATCGAAAAGCATGAAGCCTGCGTCTCCACCCAAGAAATCGCTGAAGAGGGTAGTGGAGTCTGATTCTGATTCTGAGATAATGGACTACGATGATCTACCTAAGCCTCCTGCACGAGCTGCTTCTGGGATGCGTGCTGCGCGAGGAGTGGCTAAGAAATATGTGGAAATTGTGTCGGACGAGGAGGGATCATTGTTTGGTGATGAGTGACGTCATTTATGCTATTTACAGCTTGACTTGTAATCAACACTTAAGTCTGCGCTAAGTACTGCTTGCAACGAGTTGACGACGATCAACGACCACGCATATATTGTGCATATATTGCGCATATATGGACTTCTTCACCGCCGTCGACAGCGACAAGGTCTCTTTGCGAGACCACCCCGTCGATCCCTTTGCCCAAGCCGTTGCCTCACGCTTCGGCTCGCCCCCAATCTTCACCGCCCACCTCAGCCCAACCAACCACTCTCCGAATTCGCCCATGGAAATCATGTCCTTCCCTTCAAAATGTTCTCCTCAGCCAACGTCTTCATCGTCCTCCTCTTTCCCTCCCCTCGCTGCTCGCTCTCTCCACGAATGGCTCGACGATCCCTCTACCCTCATCGTTGACATTCGCCCTCACGCCGCCTACTCCTCCGCTCGCATACCTGGAGCCCTCTGTCTTTCAGTTCCGTCTACTCTCCTGAAACGTCCGCTCTTCTCTCTTGAGCGTCTTGCTGCCATGCTGCCATCGTCCAGCACCCGTAACCGATTCTCTGCCTGGCACTCTGCTTCACGCATCCTTGTCTACGACGCTGATTCGGCTGCCATTCCAGACTCATCGAATATTCAAGGTTTGTTACGGAAGTTTAAGAACGATGGATTTCGAGGGGAACTTGCCTGGTTGCAAGGCGGATTCCAAGGCGTATGGAGGGAGAGAAGGGACCTTGTCAACACTCGTCCTCCCACTCCGGAGGCTGAAAGCGAGGAAGATGGCGAGGACACAAACCAGCCACACCAAACCTCCCTCCTTCGTACTCGTAACCTCCCCATGTCAGCTTTTTCCCTGTCTTCGACCATCATACGCAATTCCCCTCACCTGGGTCAAAAGAACACGAGTCGCCCACACACATCCCAACATATCTGTCCGCCTCCATCGATCTCTTCACATGCTTACTCACGCCCCGCATGCAATCCTTTCTTCGATACCATCCGCCAAAATCTCGAGCTTTCCCACGGTATCACGGAATGCATACCCCTCCGCCTTCCCCGCCGCGTCCGTCGCCGCATACATGAACTTCCATTTCCTTGGCTCCAAAACATCGCGCATCGCGCTGGCAAGGCAGTCAACATTCCGAGTTCCCAGTCCGATCTGTTGTCATCTGACTCGGACGACGATTCCCCTGATTCAGCCAATGTTGAAGAGGGTGCTGAAGCCTTGGCCATGCAATTCTATAGAATAGAATTGGCTGAACAAAGACGCTTGATGGGAATTATGGAGCATCATTCAAAAGAAAGCGGAGAAGTTCCGGTTCCAGGAGCAAAGCTGTCGTTTCCATTCAGTATAACAGCCGGGGTGGAGAAGGGGGCTAAAAATCGGTATGCCTTCCTCTTTTCTTTTCCTCAGAACCTACTCATTCTGCCCACAAGTTACCGACATATCTGGCCGTTTGAACATGCTCGCGTACGGCTCCATCAGCGGAGACCTTCAGATGACGACTACGTCAACGCATCATACGTTCAGCCTTTGGGCACCAATAGACGATACATCGCAACACAAGGTCCTCTTCCAGCCACCTTTGTTGATTTTTGGACGTGAATTTTTCTCAATTCTACTTCTGCAAACGATCACGCTTATCGCCACATATAGCCTCTGTTGGGAACAAAATGTGCATGTTATTGTTATGCTTACACGCGAAGTGGAAGGTGCTATGGTCAAATGTGGGTCTTATTGGACAGAAAACGCTTTTGGGCCCCTCCGACTTCGTTTGATCTCAACGAGTGGTCTCATGCCTGAAGACGATCAACCAGGGTTTTTTGCAAATCCGTCAACATCTTCCATATTCACTCCAGACTCGTCAAGAATACAAGGAGAACATCGTTATAAGTCAGAAACAATAAAACGTGTTTTTGAATTGGTTCATACAGGACATCCAGCGGCCAAACCCAGAACGGTTGTGCATCTGCAGTATTTGGAGTGGCCGGATATGAATGTCCCTGACGATCCGAGAGGCGTGTTGGGCTTAATCAAACAGGTACAAGAAGCTGTTGAAGAGACCAATATCCAAGATGAACCATCTGTCCAATCAAAGAATGTCGATATGTCGACGATTGAACTTGACGAGACGGTTGGGATTGCCAAGCATGCACTTGGAAAGAACAGTCCCGTTCTTTTGCATTGTAGTGCAGGGGTGGGACGGACAGGTGGTTTTATCGCAGTGGATGCGGTGTTGGATGCTATCAGGAGGGAAATTAGGACGACGTTTAGAGCTCATCGCGGTGGCGAGGCCATGGACGTCGATCTTTCGATTTCTGAATCGGCCATAGTGGAAGAAAATGGAACCAGTCATTCCTCCATGGCCACCATTCCAATTGCTGTGACATCCGGGCACCCTCTATCGTCCACTCAATTGGACGGTTCCGCCAAAGAAGGAAAAGGTAGCTTGACGATTTCTTCTGGCTTGGCTGTCCATGTTCCCGTGGCATCCGCCATCCTGCATCCTCGAGAATTGCAATATGAGAACTCTGTCCTCGCGGCCGACACATGCACAAGGAAATGGGTGGAGAACGTAGCCCAATATGGTAGACCTGTCGCTACGGGATCATCAAGTTCAGAGGGATCAGAGGGATTGCAGCATGCGCATGGCAGCTATCATCACCCATCCTCATCCCTTGACACCTCCGTGTCTGGGACCTCGTCACCCTCAAAATCGTTGTTCCCTCCCGCTGGTATACAAAGTATCTCAACAACCCTGCCAGATCACCTTCCAACTTTCAGTAAACGGTGTGAAGATCACTCAAGAAATGTCCCGGTAAATGTGACATCATTAGCTTCCACCTCAAGGGTTTTCAAACCAGCAACGGGAGGACAATCGATGCCTAATTTGTTGGGCAAACTGAGTGACACACTCCCTGTTCCCATTGATCATCATTTTGCAAGTGATGCGGAACTACCATCAAGGTCACAGTCGCCTTCGGCTGATGAAGAGAGCAGACAACACGACGGTCGTCAGCTGCAAAGTTCTCACCCTCGCCCTATGGATTCGGCATGTACTGCACCCTTCACTTCGCCAAGCACAAACGATTCCGAACACAAGTCATTCGACTACAAAGAGCCACGGCCTTTGCATGAAGACGATTCCCCTCTGGCATTAACATCGTTCGATGATCCTATTTGGGAGGTGGTCCAAGACATGCGAGAGCAGCGAATGAGTTTGTGTCAGAGTCTGCGGCAATATGTCTTTGTGCATGCTGCTGTCATCGAGGGAGCATTGATGGTGCTTGATCAGGAGAAAGAGAGTATGGTGCCTGCCAATGCAAACTTGCCACCACCCAAGATCCAAGAGGCGAGTACTTTGACGTCCCAATCTGTGCATGTAAGCGAAGATGCCTTTATGGCATCTTCCGTGTCGATAGGAAAACGAGGCGCCAGTCCGACCGAGTTATTGAAGGAAGGGAAGACAGGCGAGGTACTGGAGCCAAAGCGCCCCAGCATCAAACGGAAACACCGAAGCAAAGATGCCTCTGACAATTTGCGATACCCCTCAATGCCCATCCGAAGTATCAGCCATGTCGTTCACCATGGAACGATGTCTGTAAAGACATTCCCGCCTTAGCACCCAATGTGTGGGCTGTACTCCGACAATCTATATTTTCTCCACCTGTCATCTGTGTTGTAAATGTTGTGTAAGTTAGTCACCAAAATAAATAATACAAGCCTCTTTCGGGGTGATACAGTGAGAGTGGAGGTAGTTACTTAAATGGCTGCAGTTATGGATACAGTATGATAAACATATGAGAGTAAAGGTAACTGATCATGATCACACAACGGTGGGCCACGTTATGTGGCCACGTTAAAGGACTCTCCACACCCACACGCATCCTTGATATTCGGATTCTTGAAGACAAACTTCGAGCTGGTGATAAGGAGGAATGAACGGGAAGAAACAAGACATCAGTGGCAAGGGAACACACCTCAAATTGTCCTCCTGCCAATCCATTTGACTACCGATGATAGAAAAAAGAGCTTTGCTGTCTATCAAGACGCGGACTCCGTCTTGTTCGACTACTTCATCAAACTTTCCGGGGTGTTCCACATACTCAAGATGGTATGAGAGCCCAGCACAGCCCTTGTTCCGCACACCTATGCGAATGAGCTGGGGTGTGGGTCCACCAAGCAATGCACGTATTCGAGAAACAGCTAGTGGAGTCTAGAATAAGAACGGATGAGTAGACGAGGGCAACATATGAGAATGAACGCACCATTGTCAGAGCGGCCTTCGTCGCCCTAATTTTGGGCCGGGGTTTCTCGGCCTTGGGGACAGGAGGTGGTCTTGCTGCTGTTTGCGGAGCAGCGGCGTCACTTGGTATTGATGTAGCGTCTGGTATTACAACTGGTGGCGAATCGGAGAGGGAAGAAAGCGGATGGGTATTGTTGGTCCGGAGTGCAGACATCATAGCTCGTCTGGGATGATTTGAACATGGAAGAGAGAAACAGGGAGAGGCTGCGCGGTGTAGACGTGAAAGCCGTAAAATTGAAGAGGACATGGTGAGCGAGGGAGACGACGTAAACGACGAGAAGCTGAATAAAATGTTGCTTGTTATCTCAATTGAAGTAAATAGCCAGCCAATCACGCCAATCCCTTTACTCCTCATTTATTGTTCCGTGTTTATACCTACTTGCCAAGTCCACTCAATCATATCAACAAAATCTGTTTGACAAGTCACGACTACTATGATTATCTCTCAAGTCTCTTGAACATAATTTCCTTGTAAATAAATGATCAGCGGAAACATAGAATTCGGGGTAATATCTTTACATACCAGGAAAAACGCCTTGCTGTCCATTTAATCGGCCTGTCCACCAATCCTCACTACTCTGCGTCTTCTCCACAAGCTCTATCCGATCTCCAGCGTTGAATGACAAATCTCCGTCCGCCTCGATAAACGTCAGGGTCTCGTTGAACAGAATAAAAATATGGGAATACCTGGGCAACAAAATCATACAGAGCTACCACGTACTGCACTTTGGGGGTCGGTTTCGGCTTTGGTTTGAGCGGTGGAGGTGGTGGAGGTCCCCGTTTCCCAGTCACGCCAGAGGAAGCGCTTCCCCCGCTTGACGAGGCTGAGTACGGAGGCGGAGGAGCAGTAAATGAACTTGACGGAGGAGGTGGCGGCGCTTTCTTATATCCTGCTGAGCCTGATACTGCGCGGGAAGGAGCCGCTGTCGCAGACCCAGCGGAAGATGATGTCGCCACTGACGGGGATCGACCGACACCGTTCTGACTACGGGAGGCCTGCACAAGTCTCGCTGAAATTCAAGAAAGAATGAGGACAAGTTCGATGGCATAAAATCCACAACTGACAAACAGAGATGATGCGTTTAATGATGTTTAGATTTTCGATAACGCTCCAAGCATCTGTCCGCTTTTCTTCGTATTCCTGAGCGATTTGGGCGCCGGGTCTGTTGGATACATCATATTTGGCTTGATCGGCAAAGCTGCTCATCTTCTCCAAAATCAAATAATATATGTTTAGTCTGTAACCACGTCGTCAGTCTTCTTTGCGTTATCTCAAGAAAATAAAACGCACTGCATGTAGAACAACGAGTTGAACAGTGGGTCAATGAAATGTGTGGCAAGGGTCATGAATCGAGGGAGATCTTGTTTCAGAGCACTGTTGATGTACTCGTACTCGTTTGTTGCAATTTCGAAGTCTTGTTCCAACTTGGAAAGGTGAGGCGCCAGAAAATGGCGTAAGAGTCGGCTGCCCATACCTTGAACAGGTTCTTCTCGTCGTTCAACGATTTCTCTTTTTTGTCCCGTAATTTCGTGAGTGAATTATTATACCGGTCGAAATCGGTCAACTAAAGTGGGGGGTTCAAACCTGCTTGATGATGCAGGGGGTTCCACGCACCTTGTGCTCTCGCTTGGTAATGCTTTTTCGTATGAGCTTCATTACTGACTGCAGCTCTTTCGCAGGTCCAGTGATTCGTGTTTCTATGAGTTCGAGCTCGGGTCCTATCAAGGAACGCATTTCTTCCATGGCAGTTTCATATTTATTGACGCTGCGGATTGTCTGGGCAGCGTCTGGGTGCTTTCCGAGGACGTCGAGTTCGCTGGCAAGGGGCTGAAATATGACCGCGAAATGGGTTCCGAATCCAGCACCGGACGTGAAGAGAGCTATAGGGAAAGCAATCTGAGCACATTTCTGGTTGATGCATGGTAACGCACCTGCGACAGCCTCGGAAAACGCTTTGGTATCTTTGATAAGCTTCTCCGAACCCTTCTCAAGCGAAGCGAAATGGCGTTCGTAGTCATCGAATTCGGGATCGGAGGACTCTGTCAAAGGAAAGGGTGTTTGCTTGACAACTTATATCGGCAAAGGGGTCTCACTCTTAGCCATTCCAATCCTGCTAGTCACCGCAAATGGCGTCCTGGAGAAAGGTGAGAGACGACGTCAAGGGGATTAGCTGAGGGGAGATACCGAGCTAGAGCCTTTCCTATGCCCTTCATCGTGAAAGTGAATAAGATATGTACCAAGTACTAGTTCAAAAAGTGTAAATCACTACGTAACTTCAATATCCGGCACGTGGCCATCTATGTTATGGCAGACTACTGGTGTTTGTAGTTGCTATTACATAATAGCTATGCTTATGTGATAGCTACGCTTATGTATGTGATAGCTATGCTTATGTTATAGCATGCTTATGTGATAGCAAGTGGCTGTGTAATATCTCTTTTGGAAGCTTGCTCGTATAGTTTTGCCCTCTCTGCGGCCTTCCAGGCTCTGGTGTCATGTCTGGGACAAGGACACCGTTTTTCAAAAATTACATATATGGTAACTACATGTAAATATTATATAGGGCTGTATAGTGTAGTGGATTATTGCGCTTTTTTGATCTCCTTTTATGGCCAACCTAAGTTCAATTCCAGTGATTGACATCTTTTTTTTTTTTCACAGAGATAATTGAATCACAAATATGTATCTTGTTAGAAACTTGACAGATTGCTAGGAAAATTTGTGAAATATATCCTCTCCCTATCTACCATTTAAAAATGGGGCAGGCACCTATCAGGGGCCACAACTATGAGGAAAAAGGTTAGATATTATGAGTGAGTCTTCCCATCAGGATGCATTTTTACACATGAAACCACAAGACAGGGGATTATGCCAAAAGCTCAGATTAATTGCAAAGCAGATTTATGTTCAAGTTCCTCATGTTGAGCTAACAAGGATAAAGTACTGAAAATTACAATGAACAGGAATAATGATGGCTCTAGTGTCATGTCTGGAACAGCTGAGAATGTTTCAATTCCTTTCAAAAATGTGCATGTAAGAAGCAGGATACTTTACACTGATTATATATGTAGAATTATAGATCAACAGCAAGGGTTGTTCAATTGTGACAGATTTATTGTCAACTTTAGATAGATTTATTGCAACACAGTCCAGATCTTGAGATTGTTACAAATTCTTTTTATATGAAGGTCAAGACTATGTGAGGAAATATTAACAACATACCAGCACTCCTGTATCAGCATTTTTAAAGCAGTACAACATTTTTTTACCCATTGATTCTGTCTTTTTGTTGCCTTTAATGCAACAACCTGCCATTAGGAGGAAGAAGTGCATGTAAAGTGCTTCCACATACTCTGAGATATTCTACTAGCATCGACACATACTTTGATGAGCAATTGCATTAAGTGGAACTGACTTTATGCTCAGAACAGCACAAATTCTCTTTTCAATGATTTAAAAATGCATTCTGGGTTCATATTAGTGTATCCTATAATTTCCCACAAGGTAAGTGAGCTATTCAAATATTTTTCTGGCCTGCGGCGCATAGCACAGGGAGAAAAGCCAGTAGGAGGTCAACTACTTGAGCAGCTGCCTATTTGGGCGTGGGTGTGAGATTGATGGCTTATGTCTGTTTTTGGACGACCTTATGTCTTTTTTTGGACATGTCTCAATATAGACATAAATTATGTCTATATATGGACATAAGGTGTCCCAGACATGGCACCAGAGCCGCCTTCCACCACATTTTTACATCATGTAAAATTGAAGATACATTGAGATTATTGTGCAAATATGAGCTATTACAAAATTTCTATGTATCTTACTGTTCAATTTTCAACTACATCGCAATATAACTGCTACAAGAAATTCAACAGGGAAAGAATGTGATGGTTAATTTGACATTTGGATAAATGATCAGCTTCGAATATAGATGAAAAAATGTGAGATGAAGTGCCACAGTCATTCGAAATCAGAGGATGGGTAAATTGTTTAATGTATGCCTAAACAAAAAAGGTTTCTGGGGTTCTTCCCATTCCTGAAGAAATTATATTCAAGTTGGCTATGCAACAACTATTGATGCTTGAGCCTTGGGTAAAAAAATGGAACTGATATTTGGCATTGTGTCAAGGTACAAAATATGAATTATGTCCATCCTACTGTTGCAGAGAAACAGTTGTTTTTGAAGCTTTTGTGTGAGCATCTAGCATTAATCAGGGAGATCCTGACTGCAAAAAAAGCTGTAATTGTACAGAATGGTAATCATGCAAAGGGAAATGAAAATGATATCTTCTACACAGTATATTCTGTAGTATGGCCTGTGAACATCAAAATGGAGGTGCCTCACATACACCCCATCAAGCAAAGGATCAATTGCTCCCACCCAAATTTTTGGAAGTAATCCAGGGCTTTAAATAGTCATTTTCTTGAACCATCACAGGAGAGCATTAATTCAGCTCACCCAATATCATTGCTAGCCCATTACAAAATACAGTTTGATTAGCTAATAGTAGGCCTGCACAAGATGTCTTAACAATTTTAGCTCCCCAATTACCTCCAAAGAGAATCAGAGCAGGAAATGATGCTCTAGGCCAGAATCTGAGGGCAGTAGGGCAGATAAAATATACTGAAAAATCCCAAACAGAGTAGATTGTAATGAGGGGGATAGCAGGTATCCAAAGGCCCTGTCAGAACAAGGTTGGTCACAGCCCAGGTGTAGGTGGAGATGGAAAGATGGATCAGTAGTTTATAGCTCATGGATGTAAGATAAGATAAGATAAGAAATATTCTTCTTTCTTTCGCTTTTTCCCTCTTTTTATTTTATTTTATTTTAATTTCTTCTGTAGCAACTACAAACACCAGTACCCTGCCATGTTATCTCATACCTAATCATTCTCATTCATTGTACATACCTCAATCCTATACCGCCACCATGCCTCAAATCCAGCAGCCGTCCAACCAAATAAAGTGCTATACTCTCTCTTTCCTGAAACTATGGTTTCTAACTAACCCAGGCTAACCAATGTTTCCATTGTACGTCTAAAGAAGGGAGGAAAGCGATTCGAGGTATGAGTCAGAGGGATACTATTCAGATTATCGTCTCATTCTTGATCTAAGATTGCCTGCTACAAAAATAAAGTACAAGAATGGAGGACAGGCGTGTACGTCGCTCCAGCCTTCTTCACTGCTCTCCGTCGTTCAATCATCATAGCGAGACAAATCTAGATGATGTCCTCCAAATTAGCAACGTTTTTGTAAACGTCTCCAAAGGCGAAGTTGCCAAGAGTGGAGATCTTCAGAAGGCTTTCGGAAAATTGGAACTTGGCGATATTGTGAAGGAGGTGGGTGTCCTTCTTCCTCCCTTCAAGGCACTCAGCCGTTGAACCGCTATTACCCGTTGTGTCTTAAGATTCTCAAGAAGGGAGAAGTCCAAGTCGGGGAAAAAGAACGTGACCACGACCTCACATCGCTCCGCAAAGAAATCGCGACTCTGGTGGGAGAAAAATGTGTGGATCCGTCGACACAGCGCCCTTATCCCGTCGGGATGATCGAGAAAGCGATGGCCGAAGCTGGATTTAGTGTGAAACAGAACAAGACTGCAAAGAGCCAGGTGGGTAATCAACTCGGCGTCCGCTGGGGGTCACTCTTCACCAGCTTTACCAAGGTTTCCGAATGTATCAAGCAACTGCAGACTGATTCCAACCTGCCAATACAAAGGGCACGCATGAGAATTAAAGTCTCGATGCCAACCGAAGACGGGGGCCGTCTTCGAGAGCAGGTGACGGCCTGTGCAGAAAAGGTTGAAATCGACAACATAACGCAGGCAGATTGGGAAGTGGTCTGTCATTTCCGGTGTTTTCAGTGGCGAAAATTTTATTTATCGCATACATTGCTAGACAATGCTTATTGACCCAAGTCAATTCCGTCTCATCAACGAGCTGTTGCAAAAGGAATGCAAAGGTAGAGGTCGAATGGAGACGCTGTCGTTTGCAGCCACAGCAAGTGGGTAACTTTGACAGCTGCAGATGTGTCCGGATTTGTATCGGTATCTTAGAAATTAACATCAGGGAGAATCAGACAAGAATCAGACGTCTCATGACACGGCCCCAGTTTTCTTCCCAGGTGCACCACACCTGAGATTCCTCTGACCCGTGGTTTGTCGAAACGTGGGGATTAGGTATTGCTGGGGCACGTTCAAGTGAAGAGGCCAATTTTCTGAGGGACGGAGAGTCTGGGAAGCCAGCTAGAAGAGTCTTTACAACGGAACCATCATGAGAGTTCAAGATGACGCAAAAGAAGATGAGATGTACCTCGAGTTGTATTGCTAATTGAGGGGCGGTTTTAAAAACTCTGCCATTTCCACCATCATTGACAAGTTCGTGAAGGCTTGAAGTTGTTTGGGTTAGAATTATTTGAGAGGTCAGAATTGGCATACCATGCGAAGTCCAGGGCACAAACGGGGAGACCACACCCAAACATATCAACTATTTTCATCGGAAGATCAAGAGAAGATGAACTGGAGTGTAAACATACTCCTAAATCAGCGGAACCTGGAGACCTACGTTGAACAACGACTTCAAACAATGAGAAAGGGCAGAACAAACCAAGGAAGATGGGATAGTCCTCCGCCTCCAACCACAAGCTTATAAAACGAACCCACTTCCAATCTCTTTGCAGACGATTCACGTCCGCCATGTATTTGGCCTGGAGAGGTCCCTTGCCTGTCACAACCACCAATATTTTTGGCAAAGATGCAGCAACTTTTTGAGATGCAAGTTCCCCGGCTCGTGTCTCGTATATCCCAAGTGAGTCTATGAGTATTTCGAAATCCTCATCCGGTGTCCAAGAAGTGCTAGACACGAGAAGGGCAGGTCGGTCAGGTCGTAAAGAGGGCGACGGTGTATCGGAATAGGCGTCAATACCGGGTTCTGAGAAAGGTTCCTGTAAAGTGTCCGTAGCTGGTTTTGACATGGCTCGTGTGAACGCGGTTGAGTATGGTACAGATGAAAGTGGGAGGAAGTCATCCAACACTTTCTGATTTTCCAGAAGCGGTTGTAGTTTTCGAAAGAGCTGTAATCGCGTTGAGTTACAGCCAGAAAGAAGAAAGACAGTATACCTCGTGTATCTCTTGAGCGGAGGAATGATGAAAATGTTGCGGGGGGCGATCGTGAAGAACAATTTTTTGCCCTCTAAATCATGTATAAATGGCCTGATAGGAAGAGAAAAACGAGAGACTGCTCACTGTAAATCCCACTCTTTTACCAAAAAATCGCGCATGGCGTATGTAACGAACAAATGTGCGTATGCTGAGTGACCGAATTTTCGTTCAAACCTATACTTCGTGGGTTTCGTCGATGATGTGTAAACAGCGGTGAGACCAACCACATAGCCAAGCGAACAAATATATGATTGGTGCCCAGTTTCAAAGCTAGAATGCTGTAGCCGAGGTTGTGCCAATCTATTATGATTTTGCTTCCTCGGATCCTTCCTACGAGTTGCACCAATGCCAAGGTTGGAATGCTGGGGGGATTCTTAGAAGGGGCGTCAAGACTGAATGGCACAAACAAGAAGAACAAAATGGACCTGAACAAGGATAAATTCGGGAGGGACATCTATCCGGAAAAGAAGAACCCAAAAGATAGACAATATTTGGTGTATGATCTTTAAAGGTGCTGCGATAACGAAGGGGAAGCAACGCAGAAGCTTGGGCGGTTCTGGAAGGTACCAAATATTCATCTTTGGCAAACGCTTGAGAGACGGGATGGGATTTGAGCCTGAAAACTAAAATATTGACCTACAAACCATAGAAACAGATAATGAGGAGGTACCTCCATAACCAATTAGGTTCGTCGTAAAGCCATTCTCCGCAAAGCTCTGGGCGTGGTACATCATTCTAGGACTGCGGCCTATGTCTCCCAGAACCAAGATAGCAACAGAACGCAAAGAAACGCGTTTTCGTGGCTTGAAGGCTACCCAAATAACCCATGTCAGGGCTAGAAGGGCGACGGAGATTAGGAAATGAGAGACTGTGAGGCGACTCTCCGCCATTTCAAGGTCAACGCCTAGATATGTGCTGAGCCTGGTGTAAGTATGTAGCCATGTGACTTCACCTGAATGTTTGTCACTGACCTCTCTCTTACTCACTGTCATGTCCTCACTTTCAAGGACCTCGTTGCGAAGCTTCATCAAAGTTGCGGCGAGAAAGACGAACAGGTCGAATTCATGTCTACAGCATTCTATTAGGACTTTCTTGTCGTCGCACTCGCGCCCCGCGTCAGCTTTCACACTCTATGTTCGACCCGATGCTCGACGGCAACAAGTCACATCCAAACTAAATTCTTCCACCAGTGAGATTGATTGCGCATCGGAAGTGAGTGTACTAAATAGAGCTTTTAGCACGCTCGATGTTTATTCAAACAGAAACGACGCCAAACGAGGACTCTCTCAAATTTATCCTGGGTGTGCCGGTGATGGGCGATGGCACAGCTGAATTCCTGGACACGCGCTCAGCTCTCATCTCTCCGCTAGCCATTAGACTTATGGGCGTGGAAGGTGTTTCTGGTGTGTTCTATGGCCCGGATTTTGTGACGGTATCGAAGGACTCAGAACACCGATGGGCGGTCGTGAAACCCGAAATATATTCTATTATTATGGAATTCTTCTCGTCCGGGCAAAAGCTTTTCCGCACCGACGAAGAGCGAGAACAAGCGGGACCTCAAGACACACGAATTTTGGACACCGATTCAGAGACGGTTGCAATGATCAAGGAACTGTTGGAGACGAGGGTACGACCTGCCATCATGGAGGACGGAGGAGACATTGAGTTTCGTGGATTTGACGAAGAGGGAGACCGGTTGGTCAAAGTCAAACTCAAGGGAAGCTGCAGGGGATGCGACTCGAGCACGGTGACACTGAAGAGCGGAATTGAAAGAATGCTGATGCACTATGTTCCCGAGGTGAAAGGTGTAGAACAGGTGAGATTTAAGGGTTATTATAAATAAAATACTTAATCATTTTTTTCTAGGTGTTAGACCAGGAGGAGGAGATTGCGCTAGATGAATTCACCAAACTGGAAGAAAGATTGAAGAGGTGAATAAATAAATGACGTTACCTTCAGTAACTTACGTAAGCTCAAGGATGGCAAAGTATATGTCAGTGTAGCTTAGTCATACGATTGTTCCTGAATTGCTTATGTAATGCAGTACATTCCATTCAATCGTCGCCGATGTCGTCTTTGCCATTGTCCATGGTCTTTGTGAACAGCAAGAAGTTTGCCTGGTGCTGTCATTTCCTACTATCATCGCAATTTGTCCTTCTCATCACCTCACAGCGAATCCTGCATAAAAGGACACAGATCTTCGTCCTGCCATCATACAGACCGTCCCTTATTCGAAGTCAAGAAGAAAGGTCGTCCCGTTTCTCAATGTAACAAATGTCGCGAGCTTCGTCAGTCAAAGAAACTGCACTCAAAGTGCACTTGTGATCCCAAGGACCGTATGACCCAGGAACAACTCATCCCATTGTCAGCAGGCTCAAAGTGTAGGTTTGCATCTAATTCTTTCCGCTCCCACTCTTTGATCCGTGAGTTAGCCAGGAGGTTCATTCCTATAGTCCCGGCATTACCAAACGGTTTGAAAGACGTTCTGAATCCAGCTCGTTCATCCTGTTCGAAAGAGCCTGACTCTCGGCAAAAAGGTAGGATCTTATTTTGTTCAATCAAATTACCTAGCTTACGCCTGAAATATCTAGTCGATTCGCTGCTCAACCCATGTACTTGCAATAGCGTTTGGAAATGTAACTGCAGCAGAGACTCTGCATCCTCGTCTAAAGTCAGCGATGCAGAGAGCTTGACCACCCTTGCTCGCGTTGCGGCCATGCACGATTCCGCACTCCTGGAAACACCTTCTTCCAACTCAATGAAGAAGCATCCTCATAAACTCAAACGTCTCCATTCTCGACCAGGCACTCCACCCCTTGCAACGCGCAAGCGCTCAAGCGAAATCAGACATATATTGCATTATTCCAAAGGACCAGACCTCCCTCCAATTCTCTCTGTACCGTCTTCTTCCCAATTGCCAGTATCTATACCCGAATTCGCCTCCATGCCTCCCATGAGTGAGATCACGTCACTTGCCGGCTCTGGTTGTACCTGTGGTCTTCAGTGCGCTTGTCCAGGATGCCCTGAACATCGAGGCTCCGATAACGTCGCGAAGGATCGACGAAACTGCGCGGATGGATGTGGAACGTGTATTGACTACGCCGGAACTACGATCAAGGACAAAAATCTTCCCAACTCAGACTTTCTTGATCGCTTTTTTGCCCGTGCAGCTGCTCTCCCCCCACCCCCCGCTCACCGCCGATACGGGAGCCGCACACTCGACCCAACTGATGTCACTATTTACCGGGCATCAGAGTCCTTACTCTCAGGCAGCGGCAGTTTGCCAAAATTGGAGTGCTGTGGTGGCCAGTGTCTTTGTCCAAGTGGGCGTTGTTCTTGTGGGACCTCATGTGATGGTTCTTGCTTGGCCGGAGGGCCCAGTTCATCTGCTCAGCTTGCAGCTGCGACAATAACGCCCCCACCCACCGGCTGTCAAAACTGTAGGCAGAAGACGGTGTGATTCGCAATCTTTCTTTTTGAATGGACATTGCAACTTTTTTTTTCCTATGTAATGGGTATCACTTCTGTGTCCATCTGACTCGAGCCCCAATAACCAAGAGGAAGCCAATATATATACTTACGGAAAAATAGTCTTTAACTAGCAGATAAATCATTCTCGTATTACAGGTAAGCATTACACGCTGTCACCAAGAGGTCAGCTGCGTTAACATTTTCAGAGACTATGGTATGAACTCACGTATCATCTTTGCATAACAATCCAAAAACTGTTGTCAGCCTCGGTGGGAAGAGGCAACATGATCATTCATACCATCATAATGGAATTGTGTCTGGAAAGGAGTTAGCAGATGAAACAGATTTAGGCAGATGGCATCTTACCTTCTTAGGGTTCTCGGGCGCAGTACGTACATATCGGTCATTGTCTGTTGGTCTTCAAGACGAGTCAACCATGGGTATAAGCATGCGATTGTCTAATGAAGTTCACCTCTCTTTCTTCTACCAGTCGGACAAGTGGTTATCAATATTTTCACCTGGTTGAGGGGTAGCTCACCTTGCAAGAGGCTAGCATACTTTGTAAAGTGACGCAAACTGCCACGACACTCAAAACTGGAGACCATTCATTTCCAAGAATGGATGCGCAGATCTATGGGGCAAAGTGGTAGAATCAGACTCTCAAAGAATGGGGAGGAAAACTAACGTGTCCGTTTGAGTACACATGCTGGGAATCGTAATGTCAGTAAAAACAAATGAAATAGCTGCGCGTTTCGAAACGAACTGGGTGAATTGGCGCCTGTTTACCGTCTGTTACGACGAACTGCACAGCAGGTGAGGAGATGGGATATTGCGAATCGAATCGAAATTGAAGGGTGTAGGCTTCGTTCTGAAAGTCAAGATGCGCATGAGATTGCGATCGACTTAGCATGCGTAACTGTTGAAAGAAGGACCTGATACAGAGATTCGCCCATGACCTCGATGGAGAACCACCATGTCGCGAAATCGTCTGCCTTTAAAAGAGAAATGCCTGAAGAGAGCAAAGGTAAATGACCATGGGCAACGAAACAACACCGAGATTCTCACCAACTGGACAACCTTCTCCCTGAATTTCTCTGAGTTCTTTGGCGAGGCGCCTTGCAGAGATGGAGGCCATTTGAGGGTACCAAGTTGGCAAACACCGACAAACATGGGTTGTGTTATTTAAAGTGTTTGTTTGCCAAAATGAAAGTGAAAAAACCTCTCCACCTTAGAGTCACTTGCTCTCCAAATTAGAGGGAAATGCAAGCGCTCGTGGAGATGTAGAGCATCCCACAAAGATCCCGACTCGCCGCAATCGCAGCGCTGCCATTCAGCCGTTCTTCGACGTGGTCTGACGAGATACATTTTTTTTGTACTACAAAATACATTCTTATTCACTTTGTCGCCTTCACCTCGTCCTCAACCTTGGCCTCATTGACTCTACGATTCCTGTCCACATTGATATCGTCCAGGATCTTCTTTGCACCCGAGTCTAGCAATATTTTCGCCAGCTTTGTTCCTACCTTCTCAGCATCCTCCGCATTCTCTACCTTTTCTTCCAACTTGTGCTCGACGTGGCTTTCCCCGTCAATGGCAGTTACACACCCAGACAATGAAAGGACACCTCCCTCGAGTTGACTCGCTACTCCAACTGGTACACTGCAGCCACCCTCCAAAACTCTCAGGCACGCTCGTTCCGCCAGGCACTTCAATTGCGTTTCTCGATGGGTGAGCCTCTCACACAATTCAAGGGCTTCTACGTCGTCGCTGCGAACCTCGATCCCTAAAGCACCCTGCGACACCGCGTAAAATAGTGTTGGGGGTGTTAAATCCAATGTAATACGATCGCCCATTCCAAGGCGGACAAGGCCTGCTTTGGCGAGGATCAGAGCAGAGTATGGGCCCTCTGGGGCGTCCAACTTGGCGAGACGAGTATTTCTAAGGAACGATGTCAGACAGGAAGCTTGAGTTTTTGGAGATTACACACAGGTTTCCGCGCTTAAGTGAGGGGTTAATTACATGTTAGCGGAAAGATGATAAAAAGACACACCACATCCATAAACTTGAGATGAGGATATTTTCTCTTTAACTGAGCAATCCGTCTGACGCTGCTCGTCCCAATCACACTTCCAGACGGCAGTTCGTCAAGGCTTTTCCACCGCTCGCCGTGCTTGACGACAAGGCTGTCCACGGGGTCCTCTCGCTCCAGAATTCCACCGAGCACACAACCGTCGGGAAGAGTTGTCGGGACATCCTTCAAGGAATGAACAAGCATATCGACGTGGTGTTCCTTGAGCGCGACTTCCAACTCCTTGGTCCATAGTGCTTTCCCTCCAAGGAGGTATAACGCTTGCGATTGATTTTTATCTCCAGCAGTGGTCATGAAGGACGCACGAAAAGTGGGTGTTGGGGATGATGAGTCGGCATTCGCTGCGAAGAGGGCTTGAAAAGATGCAAGAACGCTGTTTGTTTGAATCTGAGCGAGTTGAGACTCCCTTGACGCAAGTATGAAGGAGCGCGACATGTTGGTGGTTACAACTGATGAAGCGGAGTCCCAGGCATTTTCCGGTCCAGTACAGAGTCGCCCACTCTCACAAATTACTCCCGTGAATGCAATTGAATTTTGTCCCCCCGCACCAGACGTGAATCATCTACTTGAATGGTGTGGTTGCCAAGTTGACATAAATGAGTTAACCGGATCCCAACTGCATAAAGTACATCGATGAGTACAACAACAGAGATTTATATAAGCATTAGTCGACAGCAAATACATAACAGAAGTAAAATACAGTTAGTGAAACTTTGTGTCATGACTCGAGAATTTCTCGAGATATGTCTGCAAAGGCAGCTTCGCCGACACCCATTGTACCCAGCTGCAGTAGACATGCAGCGGTTTGTCGGTAAAGCATCTCCAATGCGGGACGAGTTGGCCTCCCTTGGGACTCTATGCGAATGAGGTTCAGTAAGAGAAAGACGTGACGGGAAGACGACGAACTGAGAATAGCTTGATTGAGCTCATTTGCCAGATTAACCCTGGCTTCATAACTGACGACGCTCGCCACGCTACCTCCTGCTTCTAGTGGATCCTCCCAGGCGACAATACCAAATGTTTGCTTGAATAATTGTCGCACCTCTGGCCTCGTGTCTGACTTGTAGTCGTTTGACAACTCTTGCCCATAAGCAATCGCCGTGTTCAAGGCCATCTCGTATTGTGCAGCGGCATCTACAGACGACAAGTCCTTTGCTTCGCCATCAGGTGACACAGCCTTTTCTCGGCCATTTCGCAAGGGTTGAGTGTTGTATGGGATCGTTGTGGGAGAAGTGGACATTAGCCCCACGGCGTCGTCATCTACATCCATGCCCATTTCTTCGTCCATCCAAAACTCGCCATTACCGTTGCCGATTTCATCGTAATGACGCTTCTCCGCTCGCGTCTCCTTCAAGCTTTTTATCCTCTTCTTCATTTCTGTCGTCTCTAGAATAAGCTCCACGAATTTTCTGCAACGTAGTTTGAATAACATCAAGTGGTTCTCTGATTCGAGGACTACTGGGTGATGCTTCTTGGTTTCCGCAATGGCAGAGTCGATGTCGCCGGTTATGACAGAATTGACTATCCTAGTCCGACACTTAATATCTTCATCCATGCCCCCGGTTTCGGCGACGGTATCGTCCATCACGATATCGGGGTCTTTCGCAGCCAAAACGTCAGGCTGTTGTTTCTGGAAAGCCCTCACCGTCTTTGCGTAGCCATGATGCACCAGATATGTCAGAACGAGCTTGTTCAGTACCCCCTTCGACTGCTCGTCAGAGAGAGTGGTCTTCCCTGTGGTGGACATACTTCGGCCCTCCAAGACTGAAGGATCGATGGGCGTAGCCAGAATGTTGTTCCAAACTGCACTTCTTTGTTGCTGTACGTGAGAGTCGATATCAAACTTGAAAGGTTCGTGGCCAAAATTAACACGAATGATCTCTCCTGCATGCTGAAGCCCCACTGACGGATAGAGGTCTATGTCTTTACCAACATTCTCAAAGACAGCGCCTATGAACTCATTAACTTAAATGTGTATGTATACACTGACGGCGAACACACCAATAAACGACCCGTTCTTGGTAAAAAAAGCACGACGGGTCGTGAAATCTATCCCACATCCAATAATATCACCAGCTGCAAGATGTTGGTAAGGGGACCGGGAAGTGTAAATTTAAACTTACCGCCGTAAGTCGGACCATACGATGTTCCGTTTTTCTCGGCAGCGAAAGAGCACCCATCATCCCCGTGGTATCCCCATGAATTGGGTTCCCAGCCTGGGAGTCGGGAGAACTTCACGCCATGTCCTGCAAGCCTGAGGGTGACAAAATTAATCTCGTGTGGACCGTGAGGAAGGTAGAACGGACCCTATGCTGATGTGACTAAAGAAATATGTTAAAAAGGGCGATGCGGGATACTGAAATCGCTCACCTTTTATGCTCCTTACCGAGTATTTCAACCTCATAGTAGTATATTCCACAGGCAGGTGGGATTGGATGAATAGTCCTTGCAGCTGCAGCGTCTTTGTCCCCACATGAAGTTCCTGATACAATGTCAGGGCTGCGGAAATGTAGAGGGGGAGAAACAAACCCTGGTAAGACAGTTCCCGTCCATTCAACGAGACATTTAAAAGGCTGTGGCGGTCCTGGTCACTCCAGCATGTAGGCAGTTTGAAAGAGTACTCCTTGGGGGGGAGAACGGTATCGCGAGGAGGGGTAGCGGTGCTGTCGTCATCGCTGTCTGAGGAAGCGGGCAAAGTAGAGGGGTGTGTGTGCATGGAATCGAGCTTGCGACTGGGTATAGTGTATAGAGGCTGCTCTAAAAGTAAGAGTTGTCTGAATGCAGAGTTTTCGAGATAGGATGGCCGAGGAAAGGATAGAGAAGTGGAGTGTTGGACGGATGTAATAGATTGCGAGGCGGCAGGCCTAAGGATTGAGGATGAACGACTATTAAGAGGTTGACATGGGGAATTAGATGAGTCTGGTGCAGCGCGAATGACCCGGGGTTCAAAGGATCGGTGGTCTGCAGATGAGGACCTGTGAGGCGGAAAAGGAAGTGTGAGGGAGATGGCATTTTCAAGAGCGACGGAAGACCTGGTGCCCAACGGTGAGCGTGAGGGGAAGGTAGAGCGTGAGGAGAACGTAGAGCGTGAGGAGAACGTAGAGCGCGATGACAACGGTGACCTCGACGTCGTGGGTGCGCGACCAGGAGAAGATGAAGCTGGTATGGGGATGTACGAGGTCATTGTGGACAGAGGAGGCAAGCCGTTACCGTCACGTCACACGTCCACCACTTGCTCTTACGCGTTCATCATGCCTCCACAGTTCAGAATCGTCCCAACAACTCCTGCAAAGGTTGCTTCAGTACAAGACACTTCAAACGCCCTCGGTGTGCACGATTCTCTCACATATGGACCTCGCACAATCGCAGCAGAAATATCACAGTCTTCCGTCAGGGAGAGGCTCGAGAACGCAAGTCTGCTCTCTTTCTGGTTTATCGTTCACTCACTCCATACAGTGGGAGGAGACTCAGGACAATCTTAAGCTATCAATGCAAAGAAATATATACGGCTTGCACGCTCCCATGCGTTCATTGATGGAACGCAAGATCGTAGCAGATGTCACTTTACCTTCCTTAAGTCTCGCATCCTTCCTCACTTCCTCTTATCTAGGCTCCCCGCCTTCCGACGATGCCTTATTCCAATCTGCATCTCGACATCCTCATGGGTCGTGATGAAACCATTGAACCTGCAGACATTTTCTTGGGTAACATCTCTTTGCATCACTATCCTTCAAACCCATCTGACATATCACAGGAATGGAATCCAGTACTTCATTAGATGTACGCAGAGAGATCGAAAAGAAACACCTGTAACTCTTATTCTACCATAAACGCGACAACTTGGAAGCCCCTTCGCTCTCCAGAATCCCCTGTTCAACTACGTTCCTTGCGCTAATCACGCATCCTTCCAGCAAAGGTATACCCGCGTGTGCAAACGATCCACAGATCCAGATTCCTGGTATTTTCTGGTCTTGTCGTCGTCGTCCGCCTTGCAACTCTCCCAATTGACTCTCTGCTTCAACACCACACTGCCACCATCTCCGTTTCTCTTGCTTTGACAGTCTCGCCAAAGCCGCCTTTCCTTCTAGAGTTAGCACCGCACGTTCGAGGGACGCCACGCTCAGCAGGCTTTCTTTCTTGGGGGGTATAATCGGGTTAGTAGTCTGGTAAACGCTTGGAAAATGACTTGGGTATCCTTTGGGTCGAGGAAGAATGTGCGTAGCCATCGTATATGATGGCGAGACGCATAGTTTAGAAGTGCGGCTTTCTCCTTCTATGGCACTCTCCTCGCTCTCGACCCAGTTGGCACAAACGAGGTTCAGATCCCGTCGGTCTCGTGCATTGTCCGGCAAGAATCTTTCGTCGCTGTGATTGATAACAATTGTTGATCGATATGTAAACGACTCTAGGCATTTCTTCAGGTTTTCGAGGACGTTCCTTTGCTGACATGCTTCACCTGGCAACGACGCCGCATACTTGGATAGCAACGGAATGGCACTATTGGCTTGCGTAGCAAATATAATATGGTGAAACCCATCGAGAGTGTGCGTTTTATCCGCGTCGGCGTAGTGTATTGATGCAAGTCGCGGATCCTGCACATCTGGTCGAATGCCGATGATGGGTGCAGATAGGTGGATATGGGATAGATTCGCGGTCAAGTGAGAAACCACATCCCGAACACCGTTCACCACAACGTAGTGGTGAGTTCCAAAGGTGAGCCAGATATAATCTGTGAAAAATATTAAACGGGCTACAGCACAACGAAAGAAGTGGTAAGCACCCAGGAACTCTTCCGCAGGATGGTTGAAAATATCCATTTCAGGTGCCGTACACACCGCAGAAAACAGGGGAAGCAAGACGGTTTGAAAATAATCTTGCCAAGCGATATCCATGCCGGTCCTTCTTGCTAACATGCCCTTCGGCGCAACGTTTTTCGCCCAATCCCCAAACTTCATAGCGGACAGCTTTGATGATCTCCAGAACGGCAGGGAATAAAACAACGTCATCACATAGCAGAGCAGTAGCTGCGCCGTGAGGATAACGAAGAGTCCGGTTGACCAAGTCTTGTGCAAGAGGAAAGGTAAGAAGCCTTGGTTCTTCAATCGCTGGCTTTTCAGAATTGATGGCATGCTGACCCCGGCACGGCCAGACCCTCCATTGTAGATCATGGTTGCTGTAATCTTTCTGCCGTGGTCTTTAGTCGGGGGTGTGAGAAACGAAAAAGAATACGAGAAGTCGGCTTTTCTGAAAGCAACGCCAAGACTCTTGTACAAGGCAATGAGTTGGGGGTAGTACCCTAAAGTCAAAGTCATGAAAGGAATATTAGCATGCAAAATGCAAGGCTCACCTCCTTGGAAAGACCTCATGGGAACGTCGACCGACCAGCTATCCCCTGAGTCGGGTAGAGGCACAGAAACGGATGATGCTCCCATTCCAATTGTTGAGGCCTGAATGGTGCGTTAGACGGGTCAAACGGTCAATTGGTGTAACCCACCTTTTCGAAGAGGTGAACCTCGAAGTAAACAAGGTCATCGGCGCGGGGCTTTGTCAGTAAATAAGCGGCGGTAAGGCCTGCAAGCCCACTTCCAATGACAGCGACTTTGACTGTGCGAGGCATGCTAGGGCATGTTGAGAATAATTCAGACAGACAGAATTATAATAAAACGATGGCCTCAGAAAATAGATTTCAGTAAGCATGCTTGGCATTAACACGTGACTATGAGTGCAGAAGTGTTTAGTAGCCGGAGTGCTACTTATGGTCAGGAACCGAATTGTCAGCGAGCCAGTCAGCATTAACACAAGACTAAATTTGATCTGGCTAGTAGTAGTGGCTACTACTACCCAACACGCCGGCGTTTCTCTCTACCATTAGGTGATCTCGATCTGTGGTAATTGTCTACATCATCTTCTGCTCGGTCATTTCCTCGACGATAATCCTTTCGAGCCGCTATGCGTTCATCGCCATCATCATCACGCCACGAGCCTTGGTCTCGTCTTCCCCCAAATTGCCTTGATCCTATGGGCCCTGCATTCGCGCCACTGCCACGCTCAGATAGAGGTCCAGTATTTTGAGGACAATCTTTCTTCAGATGCGGGCCACCACAAAGAAAACAGCCACCCCCGTCGAGGGATGTCCCTCCGGCCCTTACAGGAGCAGTTCCACCAAACCCGCCTGACGGTGCAGTTGTATCTTGATCCAAGAGATGGGTGTATTTGGTCCGGCTTCGTTTGCCAAAATTTTTTACTTGCATAACTTTAGGCAGCATGGAAACATCTATCGTAGATTCAGTTGCTTCCGTAAAATCATGGCGTTTGAGAATCTCTTCGTCCTAATAAAATGAATTAATGTGTCAGCTACTCGCAATCTCTTAGGATAATAACATGCCTGATGGAAAGCTCCCTTGTGCCAGTATTTTTGCAAGAACTTTTGTTGCCCTTTCGGCTTATCTTCCCTCAGCTTTTGAGCCCTTTCCAGATCTTCCTTCATCCTCTGCTCCTCTGGCATAGCTCTACGTCGCTCAATCTCCTCGCGTTCTTCTTCACGGCGAAGCTCCTCCTCCTTCTCTGTTTTGATTCTGTTCAACTCTCTCAATCGCCATGCTTCAAATTCAGCAGCCGGGTCTAAGCCATCTGTGTCATCCACGTCGGGAATCTCCTCGTCCTTCTCCTCTATGAAATGTTATGTCATCAGACGAGTGTGGCATATATGAAAAACTCACTCTCAGCCAATTCTCGCCTGATACTTTCCGCAACGAGGTCATGGCTTTGTTTCCGGCGCTCCTCTGCCTCGGCTTCTTTCTTTGCAAGAGCTTCTTGAGTGTCCTGAGCGATAGCTTCCTTCTCAGAAATGGTGATTCTCGCACGCCTGCAGATGTTTGTCAGTACACAGGTTAATGAGATATTAAAGCATAACGCACTTGGGAACAAAGACGGGCCTAAATTGGAGTTTTGGCTTCTCTTCTTCCTCAGAATCAGACTCGTATTCGCTCGACTGACAAATCCGCTAAGGTCATGGTATAGAGCAGCATAGACACTGTCCACAAACCTCCTCCGCTGAACCTTCCGCGGACTTTTTTCCAGGCTTAGTTTGCTCTTCGTCAGACTCTTCTTCTTCAGATTCTTTACAAATAAGCTTGAGAATCGCCTCGCGGGTTCGACAGAAAAGCAGAAATAAATAATGATAAGTCATACCTTCCGCCTCCACAACTGTCCGACCAGATTCTTCCCTTCCTGCAATGATCACTCTCCCCTCCTTAGAAACACTAACGTCCTTCAGAGCCACGCTGATTGATTTGGACTTTGCAACATCTCGACGTAGCTGGATTCCATCCTCTTCCTCCTCATCTTCACTAGCATCCTGGTGGTCCTGAATTGGAACATCCCCTTCTTCTAGAGGTGTTGCTGTGGCTTCATCTTCTGAGTCAGAACCAGCTTCAGCGGCACCTTTCGGCGCCTTTCCTTTCCAGTAACGAGCAGCAGGTCGAGGTAATCGTGGGGCGTCCTTGCGGATTGAGGACATGATGAAGTCTGTAGTACTATGATTCAAAGCCAAACAGGGGTTAAACAGGGATGAATACAACAGTCGACAACACCGATTTCACAACCTAATCTCCAATGACGCCTAGGCTTTGCGTGATGCAGGCGATGTGACTCTCAGTAAAAACGAAAGTCAGGTCAAGTCATCTACCTCTCACAAGAAGGTCATGTGAAGTCATGTTGGTAAATGCAAAGTCATGTGGCGCTCAGTTATGTATCTGCAAAGTTTTCATGGCCTAACTGAAGTCGAGGAATAGTCAGTTACAAGTCATGTTGTAGTCTAATCCTGGTCATCCGAATTTCTATCATTTGTATCGCCTTTGTCCTCAGTCAACAAGACAATTTGTTGAAGTCCGTTGAAACTCCGACATCAGGTGATCATGTTGTCAGCGCGAAAATTCCTTGTTCTTCCCAAGTTCTTCCATGTTCTTCCTTCACCACACCCACGCAAGCTCCGATTCATAAGTCGACGAACAGCCTTCCCGCGACGAACGCCTTCTCCCTCCCTCGACCAGCGGCCTCCTCTTGCGACGAAGGGTCTCCTCCCTAGGTAGAGATGACGAAAGGCCTCTTCCCTCCCTCGACCAACGGCCTCCTTTCTCTTCCTCCTTCAGCAGACGATCTCCTCCCTCAGCGAATGGTCTCCCCTTTGATGATCGGTCTCCGCCCTTGACAACTGGTATCCCCTCAACAAATGGTTTCTGAGATCTAAGCTCAACGAACTGTCTCCGCCCTCGACGACCTGTCTCCTCCCTCTACGACCTCTCTCTTCCTTCGACGACCTATTTCCGCTTTCGACGAACTGTCTCCTCCATCGACGACTTGTTTTCGCCTTCGACGAACTGTCTCCTCCATCAACGATGTGTGGCTCCTCCCTCACTCAATAGTCTCCTGCTGACTCACTCAATAGCCTCCTCCCTCCTTTGATGAATGTCTTTTGGCTTCCCCCCCCTATTATGATGAATGGTCTCGGCCTTCCCCCTACAGTCTCATCCCTCCTTCGACAAATGATCCCCTCTCGAGAACGACCTCTTCTTTTCATACGAAGATGCGGCTTAATTAGGAGATGAGAATTTGGACTTGAGGTGGTGCTAGAGGTGTATATAGAGCACAGTCAGTAGGCTTGGAAAATATATGATTTGTTCCATGATTCCGATACTGTTACCTGAGGTTGTGATGAGAGATACATGACTAACACACATCAATCAAATGACCTGAGCATGACGGGAAAGAGACTATTATATGACTGTGTTCTGGCTTTTATTTGACTATGGAAGGACTGGGTGACTTTCCGTAACACAAATTCTCTAGATTTGAATAAATCGACGAAATCTAGGGTCCTTTGCCGGGATGCCGAGTCTTGTAAGGGTTCGACTCTGATGGAGTCCCTGGTTGGAACCCAGTTACAAACCTTAATCTATTCAGAGGGTACAGACCCCTCGAACAGATTTCAAACGCTGGAATCAACCCTGCCAAGGGGACACCTTTCCTTCCTGGGTACGATTCCTTCCCACACGGCTTAGTCAGCTCTACCTCATCCCCTACTACTCTCCTACGGCTGGGGCATTCTGCTCCCTCTCGTTGCAGTTCAAAGCCACTACAGAGTCTATTAGAAGTGTCAATGTCTTATGGCTACAAAATCCCCTCCCGGAAACTGTTGCTCCCTTTACAAACACCCTTCTTGACACCTAACTCACTGATCCACAGCCATGTTCAGCTCAACTTGGGATTTTTTGGGCTTCACCCAGCGTGTGGTCTAATTTTACAGCGGGGTGGATGAATAATCAGTATAATAAACCCATCCATGGGCCTACACGACCTCAGAGCAGCTCAGACAGGAGGGAAGTGAAGGCAAGCAAATACATCAAATAGAATCTAATCAGTTGGCGTTACGGTTTATTCACTCCAATAAACTCTCCTGTGAAGTTCTCGTTTCAAACTCCGATAAGGGTCAAATTTATTCATTTTTATAGATTTGAGTTACGGAAAGTCACCCACTATGAGGTGACTATATGACTACCGAATGACTGTAACCGACAGATGGTGGGCATCAGCCACACGACTTGACACGACTTGGCGAAGTCAACTCGAAGTCAAAATTTTGTAAAAAAGACTGCTTTTAGTCATGTCGTGCATTTTCGTGTAGTAGCGTGACTACCATATGACTGAGACACGACGAATCGTTTTTACTGAGTGTGACTGACTGAGTGATGGAAAATACTGTACCGAACTGTATGGTGGCAACAGCGGACGGAGCGTTACGCGCGCCGAAGGATTTTTTTTGGCAACTGACCCAGGCGTTACGCGTTACATTGGTCCGATAGGCAACCCCCCGGAAATTTAGGTAGACAATGTTACAGAAGTGGACGGTCGGCTAGGCATACAACGATGATGGCAATGCCAGGGTATTCTACCAGATTTCGCCTATATTTTAGTATCTGTAGCCCCGCAGGGACAGAAAATTTTGTAAAAATGGACTTTTTTTTGGTCATTTTCATAGCAACACGGCCAGCGTTACACGTTACTTTACCTGAAATAAGCAACAAAATCGGGCCAGCGTTACACCGCCAAATGTTCAAAATGTTGATGTAGTGTTGCCGCAAGGAAAGGTGCCTTGAAGGCAAGGTCACCTTGAGGCGATGCAAAAGGAAACTGTCAACGTCAAGGTGCGTCAAGCCTCAAGGTGCATCAAGGTAAATGTGCCACTTCGGGAAAAAATTCTCATAGGCCAGCGGCACGGCCGGGCCACTCAGCCTTTCTTGCAACGTGCTTTGTTGTTCCATGTGCCCAAACTTGTTGCTTGACGCTGAACATCAGCACTCCACCGTGCCGATCAATTTTTTGAATCTCATTTCTAGTTTTACTCTGGAACCAATAATGCCTAGTTTCATGTTTTTCATGTTTTTCAATTTTTTCAATTTGAACGATGCTGCTACGGCACTATCAGGTGAATAAAAAGAAGAAGACAATGTACCACGTCACATTGGATGTTTTTCCAGTTTAAGCATCCTCTGCTCCATCAGAGTGTATGTTTTTGTAAAGCAAAGAAATTGACACCCTTTGCCGAAACAACCTTGCACTGGAATTGATGGAGAAGCTTCAAATTCTCAGATTCACATCTGCTTCAGAAAGGATGGACTGCAATGACAAATGGGTGTTTGTTGAGGAGGAGATCTACAGTGACTCACTATAAGTTTTGCACCACATAAAAAATACTATATCTTCCTTAAGTTCTGGGGACTAGTTACCATATAAATATGATAATATACAAATATTCTGTATACATCTTTGACATGAATATGAGCACTGGATCTCATCCTCTACTTCATGTAGGAAAAAGTGGAAAAATGAGGTTTTGAGAGTTTTACCACTACTTCATACAAGGGTCTAGAAAAATGTGAAGAATTAAGTACTTGCTGACTCAAGTATACAGAACTTTGAATGATATCAATTGGATTAGTGGTTGTTGAGATATAGGTGTAAGAAAAGGGCTTGTTTTGGGGTA